GCCTGGAGAGAAAATCCCAAGGAATCTGCAGAAGAAATTCTAGAACTAATAAATGAGTTCTGCAAGGTCACAGGATATAAGAAACACAAACTGAAATCACAATGAGCTATCACTTCACACCCACTAATTCTAGTGGGTAAAGACAGACATACCAAGTGTTACTGTGGATGTGGAACCCCTAAAGGTTGTTGATTGGAATACAAAATGGTATAGTCACTCTGGAATATAATTTGATCATTTCTTTTTTAAAAAAATCAATAAAAATTAGGTAGATCCATTTATTTTTTAATTACAAGAATAATTTTGGAAGGGCTATTTCACTAATTCAGCATTAACCAACTCTATAGACATGTTTAACAAAACAAAACAAAACAAACACCAAAAAAAAAGAAAGGCATTTACTCTTGGCCCTTTTAGTACAGGCGCAGTGTCCTATTGCATCACAAGTGATAATGATGTAGTAACAGATCCAAGGGCATAATATTAAAGATTTTTTTTTCCAACTGCGATTTAGTAGAAAAATAACGTAATACAAACATGTATGAATGGCTGTCAAGACCACCAGTGAGCTGCAGAATACCTAGAGGCCTACCTACTTAGATGGCTGAAACTAGTAAAGCAGTATTAAAATCAGTGCTTTTATTCTTAGATTAACAATGACAGAGTGAGATTTCTTTGATTCCAATGTTATGAGGTGTGGTGGGGAATTGAGAGGAGATACGGGGGAAGACTGGCGGTGTGTGCTGAGATAGAGGTGGGAATGTGGCTCAAATTAGTCAATATTCAGATTAGGATATTGTTTTAGAAAATTTTAAAAGTACCCTAAATTGTGGCATATTGAAAAGGATATTAAGGAACAATGATTCATTCGCTCTGAACACAATTTAATGAGTGCCATCAATGGGTTTAAGAAATAAGCAGAGAGGGAGGATGGTGAGGCAAAATGAGGTGGAAGAGAAAATGGTAAGTGAAAAATATGCTTGAACATTGAAGAATGTGAAAAGGCCACCAGAGAAACTCCTTTACTTATCACTCAGAAGTGCTCTTCCCATTGGCTACCTGCTCCTGATCACCCAAACATCAATTTTAGAGCACAGGAGCAGCAACCCCCTTTATCTGCAATTTCACTTTCCATAGTTTGTTAACCAAGGCAACCTTGGTCCAAACATATTATGTGAAAAATTCCAGAAATAAACAATTCATGTTTTAAATCACAAGTCGGCCAGGCACGGTAGCTCATGCCTATAATCCCAGCACTTTGGGAGCCTGAGGTGGGTGGATCACCCAAGGTCAGGAGTTCCAGACCAGCCTGGCCAACATGGTGAAACCCAGTTTCTATTAAAGATACAAAAATTAGCCAGGCATGTTGGGGCGGGGTGCCTGTAATCCCAGTTACTTGGGAGGCTGAGGCAGGAGAATCGCTTGAACCCAGGAGGCGGAGGTTGCAGTGAGTCGAGATCGCACCACTTCACTCCAGCCTGGGTGACAGAGCAAGACTCCATCTCAAAACAAAAAATAAATAAATAAAATAAATAAAATAAATCACAAGCTGTCCCGAGTGATGAAATCTGATGACCTCCTGCTCTGTCCTGCCTGGGATGTGAATCATCCCTTTGTCCTGCTTATCCACACTGTATACTGCCTGCCGCTTAGCACTGAGTAGCTGCCTTGGTTGTTAGATTGAAAAAACATAGTGTATAAAGGGTTCAGTACTACCTGAGGTTTCAGGCATCCACTAGGGTTCTTGGAATGTATCTCCTGCAGATAAGGGGAGACTACTGTATTACATTTCAGCTTCCATAAAACTTTACTAATTTGGATTAAGAACACAAGCCTGATTTAGTAAAAAGCATCCATAAATATTCAGAGGTATAGTTTTGTTTCATCAAGTAAAAAGAGCAACTAATTCCAACTGTTGAAGTAGTAACAAGTAAAGGCTTCACCAGGCTTGCCTTGATGAAGAGTTAAGACATATTTTTAGGTCAATAGCACAAGATTATTGAATAACTTGTATGCTACAAACATGCTGCTTCCACTCATCAAAACAACCCAACCATCTTTACTATTCCAACTTGCTGAGAACCATGTCAGATGTTGCCTTCAAGAATGAAATGTTTCTCAAAATTGTTCTATCAAATGTAGTAGCTATTGGACATAAAACAGGTAATTTATTTCAGACTTTAGCCAGTTTTCATGAAGTATTTATTCCCAGCTTCAGTTTATTCCAACATTAATTTATGATAGGACAGTTACTAAAATTAGCCATTTCTCAGACTATAACTTGGAAATCATAAGAAATGGACAATTTAGCTCACTAGTCAAAATCTTAATTCAAGTGATGATCCAATAGCTTACAAATGTCTTCAATAAACTGAGCTTGGAGGCAGAACAAAAAAACAGAAAAATCTAAAACCTCTCTATCCCAAGCACCAGTAATGGAGGCTAAGCAATTACACCTACAAATCCGTAATGACAGGTCTCTTCTAATGAAAAAATCCTGAGATTTAAGCACTGTGACTTACAGAAGGCAGGTTGACTTAATGAGGAAATTTACTTTCAATAAAAAGACAATCGGCAATATTTTATTTTGGGAACTTAGCATTTCACAGACCCTCAACATGTTTTGAGGTAGGTCAAATATTAATAGTGTATTTTGCAAACAAAATTCAAGCAGATGTTTTGTTACTTGTCCCAAACCACAGGAGCAGTTCTATCACGGCCAGGAAGAACGTGGTCTCTCTGATCTTTCAGATTAATCTGTCATGTGTGAATTTAATGGTAATCACTTGCAAATATTCATGAAAAAAACCAAAAGACTAGATATAGAAATTCTACTTTGGGATATTTTAAACTTCTTAAATTTATCCTATAATGAGTATATACTTGCTCTCATTACAAATACATACATAACTGATCTTTACAATTACAAATGAGCACAGGACTGACTACGTTGTTTTTCTGCCTTTTGGGGTGAGTAGAGGAGGGAGATAATCAGCAAGCTTTCCTCAGAGCACTAGGCAGCCTTTAACTGAAGGTGCTATGTTCGAGGCACCATTGACTATGATTTGGGATCATAGGAGAGCAGGTTCCATACTAGTAGAACCAGGATTCAGAAAAGATGTCTGGATGCAAAAAGGGGAGGCTCTTTGAAAGTCAAAGATGAAGAGAAAAACAATAACATCTCAAGCTACTGATCCTGAGTTATACTACGGCATTACAACTACTTGTGAGAGGAGCTCCTACAAGAGCAGTAAGCTTGTCCCAATAAAGCCTATTAAAGTTATTACTAACTAGACAAGCCACAAGTAAAACTAAATTGGTATTTTATTAAAGTGACATCTATAGAAGCAAATATCTAAACATTTTTAATATGAGTAAGTTTTACTTGTCATGTAAATTCCTCTCATTGTCACAAGCCTAATTCAATTAGCTCATCATAATTCCTAAAATAATTTACTAAAATTCAGCTCATCTTGACATAGGTTCTTGAGCCAGTATTCTGAACTGTTTCATTATAAAGTTCCTTCTATTTAAACAGTTGTAGAATATTAGTAATAATAAAGCCCAGCTCTCCCAGTGCCTGCCAGGCTGCCTCTGCCCATGAAAATGCGATTATTTCTTAAAATGTTAAGCTCACCATAGATTCAGCAATTCTATTCCTAGGAATTTACTCAAGACAAATAAAAATACATGTCTACATAAAACTAGTATGAGAGTGTTCAGAGCAGTATTATGCATAAAAGCAGAAAACTGGAAACAACACAAATGTCCATCAAGTGGTGAATGGTAAACAACATATGGTATATCCTTATGATGGAATATTATTCATCAATGAACAGGAGTGAAGTACTGAATCATGCTATAACATAGATGAGCCAGACACGGTGGCTCACGCCTGTAACCCCAGCACTTTGGGAGGCTGAGGCGGGCCGATCACTTGAAGTCAGGAATTCGAGACCAGCCTGGTCAACATGGTGAAACCCTGTCTCTACTAAAAACAAAAAAATTAGCCAGGCATAGGGGTGCATGTCTGTAATCCCAGTTACTTGGGAGGTTGAGGCAGGAGAATCGCTTGAACCTGGAGGCAGAGGTTGCAGTGAGCCAAGATTGTGCCACTGCGCTCCAGCCTGGGTAACAGAGCAAGACTGTCTCAAAAGAAAGAATAATAACAAAAACATAGAGGAACCTACAGAACATTATTACAAGAGAAAGACACCAAACAGAAAAAAACTAAATAGAACACTTAATGGTTCTATTAAATGACTTAACTACAAGACAGAAAGCAGATTAATGATGACCTAGGCCTATGGAATGGTAATGGGAGTGACTACAAATGGATGCAAGAGATCATTCTGGGGTGATGGGAGTTCAAACACTGGATTGTGATAGTGGTCTAACAACTCTTAAAATTTACTAACAACTATTAAGTTATATACTTCAAATGGATTAACTTTATGGTATGTAAATTATACTTCAATGAAACAATTTTTTAAAAAGCAATTAGACTTATTTAAAATTAAAACATCACGGAAACGTGTAACATAGAAAATGACAGTGTATACCCCTCTCAATACCATTCCAATCATTGTTAATAATTTGATCATCACTGTTAACAGTTTGGTATATGTTCCTTCAGACACTTTTCCATGCATGTTATATATAGTAATATATATTAGTATTAGTTTAAGTATATGTATTACTATTCCATGCATATACACACACACACACAATGCTACCACACTGTACATAAAACATTGTAACTAACTTTGCTAGCTTGGCAAATTATCTTAAACAGGAAGGACGGGTTTTTAACCAGAGAAATAATACGATCATCATTGTGCTATAGAGATTAATCAAGGATGGGAAACCTGAAGGTGAGGACCCATTAGGAGACTACTGCAACAGTAGCAGGCTGTGATTGGGGAGGCTCGTGCCTGTGTGGGAACAGGCTGATCTTGAAGTCAGCCCTGGGTGCAGGGACGGCTGCAGGTCCTACTCACACTCTGAGAGAGATCCTGGGTGTTCCCCACGTTGCTGAAGTGATCCACCTCCAGAGCCACAACCTTCCCAGTCTTCATGAAGCCAACCTGATAAAAGGAGAAAGGAGAGTGATTTATCAGAAGTCCCCTTTCCCCCACCTCTCTGTCTCTCTCTGATCCTCCCTCCCACTTATGCCACCTGGAGGAAATAAACAGAACACCACATCATCCCATGAGAAAAGAGTGACTTTCAAAAGTCAGCAGAAGGTAACAAGTGAAGAAGAGAGGAACTGACCTCTCCCCAGCGGCGCACACTTGGCTCCCCATCCCTGGACACCCTTGTCCCCACACCCTTTCTTCCTGCTACTGGCACCTGGCTTCTGGTCTAGGAGGGGAGTAAGGAGGTTGGAAATAGAGAGTTGGTCATGATAGGGCAGGGAGGGGAGCACAGGGAAGAGAAACTAGGAAAGATACTGGACTGTCCCCTCACAGATTTTGGTCAGAAGACAAAAAACGTTATATTTCACAGGAGCATGCACATCCTTGACCTTATGTATGCTGTTAAAATACCCTTTACAGGCTGTCTTACACACATGGGAACTGGGACCCTGAAAGATCAAGGAACTCTCTTCAGGCCCACAAGAATTTGGGGCTAAGAGAACTATAATCCCTTGCTGGGAGTTAAATCATGAAACAAACTCAGAATAGGTCAAAGGCCATGTCCAAGGCCAGTTCATGGAGAGAGGGCTCCCAGGTTCCTAGAGCTAGGCGGAACCCTGGTAAGGTTCTGCTGATGCGTACAGGGAAAGGGTGCATTGGTCATCCACAGAACCCCACAAAAGGGACTGTCCCAGAGAGAAGTGTGGACAATCTCCAACCATGATCTGGGAAAGCAGGTGCTTATCCGAACATCTTGGGGCTATCCAGGCTCCTGGGAAGTTTTATTTCTCACAGTAAATTACTAAGCTGTCATTCCAATATTTACATCAGGCCTGTGATCATGTTAATGTTGGGCTACCAAGCACGATGGGTTGACCCTGAGTCTGCTGGTGAATCATGTTTCTGAGCCTGACCAGACTCAGAACACAGCAAATCCACGGCAGTCACGAATGCCACCCTTGGGAGATGGGGTGCCAGCCTCCCTCAGCACCACCTTTCTGTGTTGCTGTTAGCCTACTTGAATTTCTCTTCTTGCTATATCTTATTTGAACTTCTACAGATAGGCAAAAAGTAAGAGTGCAGTTCTAGGAAGCCTGGACATTTGGTCCCAGGTTTCCTCACAAAATGGCACTTCCCGTCCCAGCACAGCCCCAACATCTACAACCTTGTATCTGGCCAGGAAGGGATGTCTGCCACCAGTTATCAGCATGTCCTCATCACGGTCCAGCATGCAGCGCACAGGGCGGCCAGTCCTGGGAGGTACCGAAAGGATTAGAAACCTGTGAGCCTTCAACAGCAGCTCAGCCCTGCGAGTCTCAGAATAAAAACAGCCAGGAAGCCACCTTTTCCACCTGCACGCTAAGCAGACCTGTACTGGGCTGCTTTGCCATCTAGGCACTGTGCTAGACAAGGTGGAGAATATAAGGACGCGAGGTATGTGCTATCCTTCAGGGAGCTCACAGCCAGGTGGGGAGATCAGACGTGGACACCTGTGCCAGACCACAAGGGAACAGGTGATGTTACCCTCCCACTATGCCCAAGGGTTCTAAAAACAGAGGGCTGTGAGAATTCAAAGCAGGGGGAAACTAATTCTAACAGGGGGAAGTCCAGAAAGCCTTCCTGGCAGAAGCAGCCTTAGTCTTCTTCCCAGAGCCAGATGCGAGAAACAGGCTTTGGAACTCACTTATATGCGGCCAGGGCCACCGCCGTGGACACCAGAGTGCTCCGGGTCTCCTTCCCTCCAAAGCCTCCTCCCATTCTCTTCACTCGAACCACAATCCGGTTTGCTGGAACTCCCAACATTTTTGCAACAAAGCTCTATGGGTAAAAGACAGAACATTCACACTGAATGCATTATCTGAACTTATTTCAGACCTGATGCAGAGCCTGTCCAACATGCGTGGACCTAATTCCTACTGTGAATTCTGAAATTCCTTGATTCAAAATCCCCATGCAGCCTTGTGGTTAGTGATGCTGGGGCCCGCCAGACTGAATTCAGGCATTGGTTTTTAACCAGAGGTCAAGCAGTTGGTCACAGAATACTTTTAGAAACTTATTCCGTCTGACCAGGTGACCAGGGACTGGGAGATCATGAGAGCAGGACCAGCTGCCAAAAACACTGGCAACCGCTGTCACATTACAGGCAGTAGAGAAAGGAGGACTATTTGAGCTGCTGTAGAGAATTTAGTGGGCCCTGTGGCTACGACTTAATCCAATACCTTCATTTTACATATGAGGAAACTGAGGCAGGATATGACTTGACCAAAGCCATAGGCACTGAAATGATAACAGCCAACATGTACCAAACTCTAGTCTAAATATTAAAACTCATCTAATAATTACGACGACCCACCCAGGCCCCATTTTATAGATGAGAAAACTGAGGCTGAGAAAGGTTATGGAACAAGGTCAGTGATACCAGCTTGTTGGTGACTCCAGGACTATGACACTCGAGTACCCTCTGGACCAGCCCACATCTCCCTCTTTCCATTTCCCACATGGCCCTCCTGGTTTGCTAGGAGCTCCCCGCTGCCCTGTCAGCCCCTTGAGCTGACCCAAAGGCACCTACCTGTGTCTTCATGGTGTTCTGTGTAGACACAAAGAGCTCCATCTCTCCTTCCTCGCCTTTTGGAACAGCAATGGTGCAGTGAGTCTCCAGGTAGAAGTGCTCTTGGCCACCGATGTATAACTCCCCTGGGGAAGCAGTGAGATCCCTCACAGTGAGCTCGATTCTGCAGAAGGGGCCAGCTTGCCTAAGGAGAGAGTACACTCTGCCAAGTGGCCTGGGCAGGAAGCAACTGATCACACGGTTACCTGAGGGGTAACCTCAAGGTTTCCCACTTGGAGTGGAAAAGGATCCCAAAGGCTTAGCCATTTGGGAGCTGAGTGCTCTACCCTCACCCCCACCCCCTGAACAAAGAAACCAGAATGACACCGAAATGCATCCAGTCCAAAGTTCTCTTCTCACTGCAGCTTATGGGAATCAAGGATTTTGAAAACTGTCATTGTACAGTTTTGGAAAAGGTAAAGCAGGGATTAATAGATGTGATTGAAATGCTGAAAACCAGAGCATCTTCTAGAACCTAAGCTACCAGGCCTGGTGGAGAGTTGGCTTCATAGTAACTTTGCAAAGCACAACAGCCAATGTAAAAAACAGTTCCAAAAGAGGTAGTCAGCTGTATTGTCCTGGGGTGAGAGCAATGGATTTGATTTCACAGTGTCAGAGACAGAGGTGGAGGGAGAGCAGGGCAAAGGGAAGAGGAGGGAGGATGCTAGTTGAATATGGGTAAGGACTGCCTTCAGGTAGGGGGATGATGAGAGTTTATGCTGTTAGAGGCCTGGCAGACCTAAGGCTGTCAGGCATCTGTGGCTGTTATCTTCCCTAGATGATCTTCCAGATCAGAATACTCTAGAATCTCTCTACAATCATTAGGTCCAACCTAGAGACAGGAGAGTAGAGATTAAGATGACTGAAGCTCTTTCCCAGCCAACTGTCTACTATTTTGCTACAAATGTAAGAAGGAATTTTCTGTTAGGAAATGTCTGGAAATCACTTCCCTGCTTCAGGGTTCAATGCATATCTCTTGAATTTAATTTGCAAACCAGGGCCACCCCATTCCCACTGTGGCACGGAGCAGCTCTACCTGACACAACATTATCTGCTTCGGAAAACCCCTTCTTGAGGTCCCCTTTCTCGATCTTCAGCTCAGGTCCATAAAAGGAGTTGTTATTTATAGCATCCTGAGGATCACAAAGAAGTTTCAGAAATGTGACTTTTAGCAGGGAGGGAAAGATGGGTTCTGATTAGGGAAAGAGAAGCTCTCTGAATTGTTGACTCTCTCTTCCCATAAATGAATCTCTATACGCTTCACATACAGATTTGAAGTAAGCTCTACTGTAGCCCAGGGAATCATCTTCCTTCATTTCCTCAGCTGTAGGTGGACAACCCTGGACCTTGAGGAAAAGCAAAGAATACCACAAGGACCAGATGGAGGTAAAATTTTGGGAAATAGGAACTCAGTTTGGCTGTTGTTAGTGGACTGGACCTAAGATCGTAAAGGGGAAGGTTTCATGGGACCCCAAATCCCAGGGTTGAAAGGGATTTTAAAATCCATCTAATCAAATCCCTACCTGCTGCTCAAATCCCCTCTAGGGGATCATAATAAATGCACATCCAGGGACAGGGAGCTCACTCCTCTACACAGGCAGCCCATTCTCAGTTACCTCAATTGTGATGATGGCTGGTAGTTCTTCATAGGTGATTTTCACCCCTTGGGCAGCTCTCTGTGTGTGTTCTGGGGTGTCAGCAACCACAGCACCAATGATATGCCCAACACAAGTAACCTAGTAGCAGAGACAGACTGTTAAAGAACGCAGCCAGGCTCATAGTGAAACAAATTATTTTTGGATTGTTCAAAAGGCCAAAAGAAGTCCCTGGCCTCACAATCAAAGCACATTTTAGGAATGCCCTGGGGCCTCTTAATTTCCTTATCCTACTGATTGAGGATTATTAGGATCAAGATGCCAAACACATTTCATCTCAAGGGCCAATTCTGAGTATTTAGTACTGGCAGACTATTGAGAAGCTGAACCAGATAGAATGTGGCAATTGATTACTCGTTTGCCATGAGCAGAAAGGGGGATATGGCACCAAGAAGTGTGTTTGTCAATTCAGATTCACTCCAACACCATTGGTCTTCCTATGGAGACTCAGAAGGCAAGGCCACATTTGGCTAGTTACTATTAATAGATCATGACTAATCTTAGACCCTGACCCCCAGTTTTGTTTTCTTTTCACCACACCACTCTCTTCTATGTTCTATTTCCCAGATTTATATCAAAAGCTTCTCAAAGGCTGTAAAGGTTGTAAGCATCAATATAAGGCATGTAAGACATATGCTTACAAGACGTGATACTTTTTTTTGAGTATCGTGTCCCATACTTCATCTAATACCCAAAAGCAGTAGCTCTCAAATGCTGGTTCTTAGACTTGATGACCCATAAAAAGATTTTTAAAAATTTATATGATAATGATTGTTGTTTTCTTTTCTTCAATAATTCAGTTTCATAAAAGCTTAATGGATCTCCTTCAGAGATAATTTTCATCCCCAAAAAAGTAAACAACAAAAAATTTTTGCCCAGCACATCACTTTAGAAGATGAGGTTTCTGACAATAGGAACCAACAATTAGCATGCATGTCTCTGATAATTATCTTTGTGGCCCAAATAAGCTATTGACTTAGTTGGTTAGTGCTATGGTGGTTAAATCTGGCTGTTGGTTAGTGCAATGGTGGTTAAATGTGGCTGACTCTCACTAGCCATAATACTAGCACTGCCCTGAGAAGCTCTTAAAGTATGTAAAGCAACTTGTTCTTCTATGAAATGCTCTCCTCATGGAGTCCTGTTCTCACATTTTTAGTTTTTTGTTCTTTCCTTCACTTTTACATCAATAATAAGATGAACTCACTCTTCAGAAATGCCCACTCATGTCTAATTTGCAAGATTTGATGTCTACTAGAATTACAAAATGACTGTTGAGAACTATCCTATGAGTAAAGTATAAGGACTTTTGTAACAGCTGTCTTAAACATTCGAAGAATTTTGTTTGTTGCTGCAGAATTCCATATAGTTGAAATCAATAGATCAACTTTCGTGTAAGTGAATTATCAATTCACGTAGTGGTGGTATTGTGATTTCTAGTTAGTTTGTTAAATGTGTTCTTATTTTATTTTAATTAAGGAGTTTACTATTGTACCTTAAGAATCCAATTGTTAGTTCAAATGTACTCACCAGCCTTGTTTTACTGCCACTTTGGCATAGAGACATCCTACTAGGTACAAACAGCAGGCATCAATTAAATAAACAAGTAACATATTCTATCCCTTTGTGGATTGTGCTGAATATGGGCCAACTGGATGATGGCCACAGTCCGTGCAAATGTATAACCTTTCCAGATCAGGAGTTTGGAGGAATGTACACAAATTAAAACTTCAATACTTATTCAATTTACTTCATATAAAAAAAAAATCCAAGACCTACCTTATCCTTTGCAAAGACTGTCTCATCATTACAAATTCCAGTTATGTTACTCCCAGGAATATCATCAGCAGAAATGAAACAAACAAACCCTGGCACCTTCTTGGCTTCTGATATATCTATGGACCTGCAAGAATGAGTGGTGTGAGGGGCCCGGCCAGCAAGCTGGAGCAGGGGACCTATCACCTAGTTGGACAACCCTGTTTTTATTTTGATTGGCTTGGCTCCATCCTAATTCCTCATTTCTCTGCTTCTTTTCTATTAGATTCTAATTCAATTATATTCTATTCCGCAAATGTCAATTAAATCCTCACCATGTTCAGGCCACTATGCTGAATGTTGCTGGGGATATACAGTGAATAAGTCAGCCAGGCAGAATTGCTCACGCCTGTAATCCCAGCACCTTGGCAGGTCAAGGTGGGCGGATCACTTGAGCCCAGGAGTTTAAGACCAGCCTGGGCAGCATAGCAAGATCCTGTCTCCATTTAAAAATAAATAAAGTGAATAAGGCAGGCCAGGCCTCTTTATACCTTACATGGTGCCCTGTCTAGTCTCCAAGTACACGTGAGCCATATCAGAACGAACAGCATTTACTCTGCAGAGCTCTGGCTAACTCACGCATCACACCTAACTCCCTTCCAAAAGCAGCACATGGGGCCCTGCTGTGCCACTGATCCAATGGCCCTGAATAGCTTCATAGAGCTACATTTCTCTCCCTGCATTCATGGTGCTATCCCAGCATGACAGGGCATCCTATCATAATGAGGAAACATGAACCTCAGAGGGAGAATGCCTGAATATATTATCAAGGATAACAGTCTCAACTACGTACTGATCATACTGGCACATGCCCCCATAGGGAAATAGGGCAACACATTTCAGGGAAAGGTATGGAAACTGCCCTGAAATACTAACCATCTTCCAAATGCTTAATCCTCACAAGAAACTCTGAAAGTACTTATCCTAATTCCCATTTTATGTTCGGGGAAACTCAAACTCAAGGAATTTAGGTAGTTTGTCCGAAGTCACTAAGCCAGAAAGCAGCATAACTGGTATTACCGGAACTGAGGTTAAGTTAGGAGGGTTAAGCTCTGTCCTCCCACACCCACCTCCAAGTGTGTGCAGCCCGGGAAGGCCCCAGTTGTTGCAGTTACGACAATGTCAACCCCCTCATCCTCTTCCATCCATTCATACATTGCTTGGATGGAGGTGGTTTGAGTGTAGATAATGTGGGTTATGGTATTGTCAATATGGGCTGAAGACAAGGGAAAAAAGGGAAAGAATGTATCCCATAGCTGGCAACCATAGGAACATAAACACTTTTTTTTTTTTTAGGGACCTGGACAAGTTTATTTATCTGTTAGATTTCAGCCATGCCTGGTTCATCATTCCTGGAGGGAGTCCATCTCCAAACTAGGAGCAGCAGCAGAGAAAAGACCAATGACAAGGAAACCTGATTCCTAGTCCATGCAGTGGGCCCAAGGAAGGGCTTTTCCTAGCTGCTCTACTCAGCAGGCTATGTGTCTAATGCCCACCAGGAAGTGAAGTTCATGCTGTCCTGCTTGAACATGCAGAGGCAGCACAACACAGTTGCTCAGTTGCTTGGCTTCAAACTCCAACTCTGCCACTTGCCAACTGTGTGGCCTGGGGCAAGTAACATACCCTACTTGTGCCTTAGTTTCCTCATCTGGAACACAGAGATAATAATAGGAGCTGTCTAGAAGGTCTTCCCTTCTCTCTAGCCTGGGAGGTCCTGGAGGCACCTCATTATCTTTGCATCTCCACGGCCTGGCAGGATGAGAGAAGTCTCCTGGGTGCTCCCAGCAGCTCCCTCACAGCATTCCACCAACTCCTCCTGGCGGTGACACTCACTTGATCTTGGCGTGGGCCCGGGTGCTGGTGACCAGCCGGAGAGACAGCTCATTCTCATAGCGAGGGATGTCGTCACAGTACACGGCTTCACCAGAGGCCTGCATGTTCGCTGCCAGGTGGGGCAGGGGCCGGCCTACCATGTCCTCCTCAGACTGGCCCTTAGGCACCTCCTGGAATGACAGGGTCATCAATCAGGCTGAGCTGTCAAGGACACTGCCTCTCTACAGGCCCAGGGGACACTGGAGAGCTTCAGGCTACATGGCAAAGCACACCGAGGGGTAAGAATAAAGAATGCAGGGGGCGTGGGGCAAAGGGAACAGGAAGGTGGATAAGTGATGGCAAGGGTGGTCGTAGTGTTGTTTTATAAAAGAACAACAAGAAAAAGAAGAACCTACATTTCCACTGTTTGGAGATTGGGTAAATAAATTATGCAGCCCCATATAACACAATAGTATGCAACCATTAAAACATACTTTTGAAGGACTTTAACTAGAAGGATTGTTCATGCAAGCATAAAAACAGGACATAAAACATTTGTGTTTGTGTTTGACAATAATTCAAATTCTGTAGGAAGAGATAATATATGCTACAAATATAGTATATACATGTCCATATATGCATAGGAAATAATGAAAAGAACTAAACAAAACTATAATAATAATTTGCTCTTGGAGGTGGACTTTTTGGTGATTTTTATTTTCCTCTTTATACTTTTCCATATTTTCTAAAATGTTTTAAATTATGGATTTTATAATAAAGTTGTTTTTGTTTTACAAAGTAATCATAACAATGGCTAATGTTTATTGAATGTTTCACCGTATCCCAGGGACCATCTAAGCAATTTACTTTTATTAACACGTTTAATCCTCAAAACCATCTTATGAAACAGGTATGTGATTATCCACATTTGCAAGTGGGTATAATTAACCTGTTTAAGAGGCACCCAGGAGGATAAATAAGTTGTTCAAGGTTGCACAATTATGAAATGGCAGAGTGTGGATACAAATTCAGGCAGCAGGCCCCAGAGTTCATGCTTGCGCCAACCATACTCCAGTGTGCAGGGGGCAGTAAATTGTGGCCTGGGGGCCGACACAGGCCCACTGCCTGTTTTTGTAAATAAAGCTTTATTGGAAGACAACACACTCATTCATTCATGTTTTGCCTGTGGCTGCTTTTGTGCTACAATGACAGAGTTGCAAAGTTGCAATAGAAACCATCTGGCCCACAAAATCTAAAATATTTTCTGGAAAAGTTTGCTGAGCCTTTACGTAGCACCTCTCAAAAAGCTGGAGTAGATAGATGGTTTGTCTGTCTGTTTGTTTTAGCATGCTCAAAAACACTTCTGGCTTTGCACATTATCCCTCATGTTAAAAAAAATCTGTAAAGAAGAGGTACAGCTAAGAGTCTAATCCCAAAGAGAGAAATTTAGGCAAACAAGGGAGAAATAGTGACTAGTGACATTAACATCTATACGATTCCCATTGTCTTCACTGGATATTTACGCACAAGCGTAAGGAGCTTTATACACCTACATACAATTCAAGTTAGTCATTAGCCGATGGTCAGCCACTAGCCAACTGATGTGGCCTGCAAAGTCCCCTGACATTAGCCATACACTGACTGTACTCACTTGGAAGAGATGGACATTCGCTGGGGGGTCTTTCTGAAAGAGTAAAGTTGCACTGGCGAAAGTGGGGTCCAGTTTACCACACTTCTGTGGAGACAAGACAACAGAGGTGACCAGGATTATATTTCAATCATTGATCCCTTCCTTGGTTGTCCCCAAATAACCAAAGTGACAACTGATCCCCTTGTCTCTTCATTTCATGCCCCTTTGAGTGCTGGCTGGATCTCTCAGCATCCAAACATGGGCTCTGAGAGCCCAGCATTTAAGAGCAGCCTCAGCTTCACTGCTAGCCCCCCACTGTACCCTGTAGACTGAATGGTCTATACTTCCTCCAACACCCCAAACTCTTTCCCTCCTTCTTGTATTTATGCCTGCTGCTGTCTCTGTTGGGAATATCCTTCTCCTCCAGCCTTCCTGGAAAAGTCTTCCTTGCCTTCCTCAATTCCATGGGAAGCATTTAATGATAAGGAAAATGTTCACGATATAATCCCAGTGGAAGCAAAGGGGAATTTAAAGTTCTATATGCAGTGTGGTCCCAAGTCTATTTAGAAAATAATATATCCACATCAAAAGATAGGAAGATGATAGGTGTTGATAGATGGATGGAAGAACAGCTAGAAACAGAGAGAGAGAGATGGAGCAGACAAACAGTATAACAGATAGATGGACACTAAATGCAGGAAAAAAGATCAGAGGAAATAACCAAAATACTTAGCAGTGGTTTTCTCTGGGATTTGAGAGTAAGGTAATTTTAGTTTTCTTTATCCAATCCTGTATTTTTATAGTTTTTGGTTTTTTTTTTAAGAGGGATTTATCTCTGCTGTCCCTGCATCAGTGACATCCTCTCCACTTTGGGCCCCCTCCACACTCCATCTCCGCAGTTGTCTCCCAAGTGTGGCCTTTATTGTCCACGTTCTCCCCCACACTGAGCTGCCCCCTAGCACCTCGTGAAACCTGGCATAGGACAGATGCAAAAGAAATTCTTGGTGAACAAATCTCAGGAGCTGGGCCCCATCTTAGCCTGCACCCTCTCTTGAGGGCACATATCCTATGCCTTCCACGGCCTCCTGGCTATTGCAGCCCCACCTGACATTCCCATTCCATCCTACGTACTTATCACACTCTGCATTCCCTTTCTTTTTTTCTCTTTCTTTTTTTTTTTTTTTTCTTTTTTCTTTTCTTTTCTTTTTTTTTTTTTAGACAGAGTTTCTCTCTCATAGTCCAGGCTGGAGTGCAATGGCACAATCTTGGCTCATTGCAACTTCTGCCTCCCGAGTTCAAGCGATTCTCCTGCCTCAGCTTCCTGAGTAGCTGAGATTACAAGGCAAGAACCTGTGTCCCCAAAACCCAGCCCAGCACTCTGCCTCTAAGCCAGCTGGTCACTCCCATTTCCATGATTCTTGTGCTGTGACCCTGGTCCCTGCTATTCTGCCCTCAGATGTCTGGAGGACAGGAGTAAGTTTACTACCCAGACCAACTTCTTATATCCCCAAACATGCTACAGAGAGACAGTGCCTGGCCAGGCCCCACTCACGTCTTCCGGGTTCTCTTGGCCCAGCTTCCGAAGGACTGTCAGGTAGAACTTGAAGAAGAAGCTGAGGGTAAGGGTGCGCCGGAAGTCCACCATGCCACCAGGGGCGTCGGGAGGCAGATGCAGCTCCTCCGCCAGGGCTGCACACACGTCCTGCAGCAGCTCCTCCTTCCAGAGCCTGCCAGAGTGCAGCGCATGGGACAGCGCTACTGTCCAGCCCTCCACATCCCTTTGTGTAGAGCTGTGTGCCCAGAGCCTCAGAGCTGTACAAAGCTTGGTTCAAAATTCGGCTTGGATACTTAGAGTTGGGTGACTTTAGGCAACTTAAATTAACCTCATTGAGTCTCTGTTTCCTCATCTTTAAAAACAGATGCAATTTTAAAGGACCATCAAAGTAATAACAGTTAAAATCTATCAAATCCTCACAATGTGCCAGGCAACATCTTAATTGTTTTTACGTGAATTCTCACTTTTAATTTAAATTTTAAAATGTAGTAGGGAAAATTCGTATACCCATTTACCAATGAGAAAACTGAGGCACAGGGAGGCTAAGTACCTTGACTTATGTTACCTATTTGGTAAATGACAAAGCCAGGAATTTTGGAACCAAGGAACCAAACTCCAAGTTAAGCTTTATTGATCTTATGTGGGTGCTGTAAGGATTTCCTAGGATAATGCTAGTGAAGTGCTTGGTACAATTTCTGTTATATAATAACCATAGTAATAGTAATAGTAGTAGCAGTAGTACTAATCACAGCCATAATGGTAGCAATAATAGTAATTACAGAGCAGTAGTAGTAGCATCAGCATCAATACTACTAGTAATAATACTATCAACAGCAATAATAGTTGCAGTAGTTGTAGCAATATAGATAGTAGTAGTAGAAGTAGTAAAAGTCATAGAAGAAGTTGTAATAGAATCAACAGCAACAGTAGTAATAATAGTAGTAACAGAAGCAATGCCAAAAAGTAGCAGTCATAGCACCAGCAGCATCAATAACAGCAGTAATACTACTGTTAGTAGTAATAGTAGTAGCAGCAATACTAGTAGCAATAGTCATAGTCATAGTAGCAGTAACAGTAGTAGTAGTAGTAGTAGTAGTAATTTCAGTAGCAATAATAGTAGCAGCAGTAATGGTATTAGTAAAATACTAGTATAACACTAATAATAGTAGTAGTAGTACTAACAGAACAAGTAGTAGAAGAGGCAGCAGTAGTAGTAATAGTAATAACAGCAATAATACTAATCATAATAGTGACAGTAGGAATTGCAGCAGTGATTGTAGCTGTAGTGATAGTAGTAGCAACAGTAGTCACAGTGATAGCAATAATGAGTAACAGCAGTAATTCTAGTAGTAGAAGCAGCTGGAGTAGCAGCAATCATAATATTAGTTATAGTTGCAGTAACAGTAACAATAGTATTAATAATAGTAGTAGCAGCAATGGTAATAGCATAGCAGTGGCAATACTCCTAGCAGTAATACTAGTAGTAGTATTAGTAATAGTAGTAGTAGCAACTGTGGTTATAGTAGAAGTAGAAGTGGTAGCAATAGTAGCAGCAGTAGCACTAGTTATGGTAGTAGTAGCAGCAATAGTAATACTACTGGTAGTCATAGTAGCAGCAGCGGTAACAATGATACTATTAGTAGCAGCAACAGTGGCAGCAGTTTTATTCTGCTGTTAGCTCTTACTTGGAAAGCTGCCTCTGAGTGGTCTTGAGGGCCGAGATGGTTCTGTTGGCCATTCCGCCATAGCAAAGGGCCAGCTCCTCTACCTCTGTGGTTCCTGGCTTGAATAAAACTCTCATGCCACTGGTTACCTTGGCAATGTCGTCTTCTCTCCGGGAGGCCTGCTTGAATGCTGAGAAATACTCCCCCTAAAAGAGAACAGGAAGGTGCCTGTTTTCCACTTTGCTTTGCAGGGGCTGCAAATGGCAGAGCCAAACCGCAGGGCTATGAGGTGAGGTAAGGGGATAACACTATCACACATCAGTGTGTGAACTGGCCCCAGGAATCAAAGATCAAACGTAACTGATTACCACCTGTTTAGGAGAGGTTCCAAATAGCATTCCCAGAAGCTGGAAAAAAAACAGGATTTCTCCCTGCCAGTCAGAACAGCTGAGGGTCAGGGACAAAGTAGAACTGGGTGGTCTCCATTGAACAACAGCTGCAGGGGAGGAAGGGTGCTTTCACAAAGGCTCCTCAGAGACCCCTCATCCCCCTTACCTTCCCCACCCTGGTGCCCACTATCAGTGCCCCCCCAGCCTCTCTGGGGACTGAGACTGTTTGTCCCTTGGCATCCTCTGCTTGTGGCCTTCACAGTGCCCTCTCCAACCTGCCCCTCCCACTAGTCTGTTGGCATCATTCAGAAATCTTGGTGAAAGAACCCCGGGCACAGTGGCTCACGTCTGCAATGCCAGAGGCCTAGGCAGGAGGAGTGCTTAAAGCCAAGTGTTCAACCAGCCTAGGCAACATAGTGAGGCCCTATTTCTACAAAAAAAGAAAAAAATTGCCAGGTGTGGTGGCGCACTCCTGTGGTCTCAGCTACTTGGGAGGGTAAAGTGGGAGTATCACTTGAGCCTGGGAGGTTGAGGCCACAGTGAGCCATGATCATGCCACTGCACTCCAGCCTGGGCCAGCAGGCAGGGTGAGATTCTGTCTCAAAAAAAAAAAAAAGAAAAAGAAAACAGAAAAGAAAAAGAAAGAAAGACAGAAAGAAGTCTTGCTAAAAGAAAATATCACTATCACACTATGCAATAATCACTGCCCTTGCACTTTAAATACATTTTCCTTCCTGGGTTTGAGCTAGGATCTGTCTTTAAGGATAGGAGGAGAGCATGAGTTATTTTCCAGGTAAGAGCCACCTGACTTCAAGCTCTTTCTGTGTCAGGTTCCTTTTGAGGTCTGTACTCACTCTGGCACTGCAAATTCTGATGAACAATAACATTAGCATGTTTAGGGAGAGGAGATCTATTGGAAAAAGCACAATGAGGTCCACAGTTGAGGCCCCCAAATGGCCACAGGCTTTTCTCTGAAGAAGCCATGGAGCCCCCTCCTGATGACAAAGCTAGCTCAGCTTGGATGTCAAGCATGGCTCTGGGGCACTGAGCCCAGAGTTTGACCTTTGCTCTGGAACAGAGGTCCCAGGTGCTCACTCCCAGGACTGCGCCCGTCCATGGGGACATTCTTGCTGGGGTACAGTGAACTGTCAGTGGCAGGTTGACAATATCCTTTCTTGAGAGTTTCCTAATTCTGGGTATTAAAATCTCCTTTCTTTTATGGAAGGATGTATTTTGTTCATGACCATACCTGGCAAATAAAAACTGAATAGAGCTACACCTGTTTCCTCCCCCTTTCATCGCTCACAATTTTAAAAAAAATTACTGAATTGTGAAATTCAAAACGCTGGGAATCACTGCTCAAAATGGTCTATACAGACAAGCTAGAAAACCATTAAGAAACCACCTCAGGGATATAATTGCTCTAATTTAATTAGCATTCTCATTAAGGTGGTCAAAATTACCAAGGGCAAAACATGCCTTAGAACACTCACTAAAGCGCCGGCTGTGGGAAATTTCACTCTCCCTGACAGCGGCTCCCCAAGCCTCTCCCAGATGCCTTTTCTGACAGGCCCTTTTGGAATGTGTTGTGAGCTCGTAGCTGCTAGAAGAGGAAAGACCCACACCAGGTCAAGACATCACAGGCCCCAGGGAACAAAGAGTAAGGCAGCCAGGGGTGCCCAGACCTGCCCTGACAGGCCAGAAGAGCCACTCATGAAGCAGGAATCCATCCGCACCAATCCACAGTGAGGTCAGCGAAGCAACACCTCATTAAGTCTAAGGTCAGCATATGGTCTGAGCCACAGGCAGCTGCTTCATGCAGCACATGAACCCCACATTCTTCACCACGGAAAAGCAAATTTCCTCTGACGTGGGCAGGAAGCCTTGACAGCTAGATGTGTTCTTGGAATTCTGTTGTTAGCTGCTGGTCATCTCCACTGGCTTCTAGGCATCACCAGGAACCTTATGAATTATTTATTTTCAGTCCTCACAATAACCCGTATAGTAAGTAACATGGTGCCCATTTTACGGATGAAGGAATTGGGGCTCAGAAAGGTGAAATGACTCACTCAGGACCAAGTTTCTAGCTATCTGGTTCCACAGTCCATGCCGTGTGGACTCCTATCCTGCAACTTCTTATTGTCCAGAAAGGAATATGGTTGGTTCAATAGAGGCAAAGCTCAGAGAGAAAAATCATCAATGTAAAGATTGAGAGAGGCTCACGTTGGTCCCTGAGGCAGATTCTGATCTCTTTGTCTAGAGCCTGGCAGTAGGACTCATTTGAGCAGAGCCTGGAACCACTGCCAACATCTCACCTCCCTGCTGTAGGGGATCTCTATGGAGAGCAGTATCTCCTCCGGGCTCAGCAGCGTCTTTCTGTAGCCAGGGAAGAATGTGTGGTCCATTGGAACAGTTCTCCTGGTGCCTGTACAGAAGCAAGATGAAGAGGAGCCAACGTGAGGGAAAGGCTGGGAATCCCATGGGGAGCAAAGGACAACCATCAGTGGGATTCTTCATGCTGGTCTCCAATGCCCACAGTCAGAGGGAATGACTGGCACAACTGGGGCCAAATCCTCCATTTGAAATCCTTAAGCATCCTTAAGCAATAGTGTGCTAGTGAATCTTTAACGACCAGTTCCGTGTGGGGGGAAAAGCCCTGGTTTATAGCATTTGCCAATTTGTGTGGTGTAAATACTTCCCATAGCCAATTTCAGGCCACCAAAGTTGCATCACTGAATGTGAAACTGGGAAGAAGGCAGGAAAGAGCACAGCAACCCGGACTGCTCTCCTCTGTAGGGGTTGCTTACAAGGCTGACCCTTGGGAACTTGTACTTCAGAAGGGTTCCCAGTGCTCCATGATAGAGCACCTCACTGTGCCTAAATTATCTGTACAAACATTAGTTTTTGCTGAACCCCTGCTTTCCTTCTGGGAGTCTAGACTTTGGGCACATGCTAGTAGAGGCTGCCTATATGACAAGCTCCCGAGAAAACCCCAAGCGCTGAGCCTCTAACAAGCTTCCCTGGTAGGCAAGGCATCAATTGTGTTGTCACAACTTATTGCTGGAGGAATTCAGCATGCACTGTGTGACTCCACTGGGAGAAATCTCTGGAAAATTGGGCCTGGTTCCTCCAGACTTTGCTCCCATGTATCTTTTCCCTTTGCTGATTTTGCATCCTCCTGCTATAATAAGTCATAGCCCGGAATATGACGGCATGCTGAATCCTCTCAGCGAATATCAGAGCTGGGGTGGTTTCGGGGACCCTCTGACAAGGCAGAGATGCACAGGAGCACATCATTGTAGAGCATGTCCACCATACAGACAGACAGAGGCAAATAACTCCAAGAGCACTGATAACAGCAAAATGAAGTAATTAGGAAGCAATGAATTTTGAGTATTTATTCCTTTTGTTTTGAATATAATTTATTTCATTGTAATTTTACACAACTTTATTTTTATTTTTATTTTTGGAGACAGGGTCTCACTCTGTCACCCAGGCTGGAGTGCCGTGGTGAGATCTTGGCTCACTGCAACCTCCACTTCCCAGGTTCAAGTGATTTTCCTGAGAGCCTCTCAAGTAGCTGGGACTAAAGGCGCACACCACCACACCTGGCTAATTTTAGTGTTTTTAGTAGACATGGGGTTTCACCATGTTGGCCAGGCTTGTCTTGAACTCCTGACGTCAAGTAATCCTCTCACCTCGGCCTCTTAAGGTGCTGGGATTGCAGGCATAAGCCACCGCACCTGGCCTGATTTTTATTAATAACTCTTTCACAGATGGCTCACAGAATTCCTGAAGATCCAACAGCAGGCTGTGGTGAGCCAGTGCATCCTGCCCCAGTACCCCAGTAGGTAAGGCATCCAGATAGCAGTACCTGCTGTGAATTCTCTACAAAGAAAAGGTCCAGCTTTCCTGTCCCCCAAACCAGGTACATTTTCCTTGCTTCCCTGGATCCAGACCTTAGGGAAAGCTGGGTCACTGAACTTTGAACTCTGTTTCTTCAGAAAATGACCTATCTGGTGAGTCTTTTCTCCCCCAAGTTCTTCTTCCTGGACCTCTGCTTCAGGCAGCTTACCTCTGGACACAAGTGTCAGCTTGGCCCCACTGGCCATGAACACAGGGTTGAGGTCGGAGATGGGGCTGGCAGTGATGATGTTCCCTCCAATGGACTAAAACAAGCAGAGAGCATGCAGTGAGAGCCCACCCCAGGAAACCCCTGCTCACGCAGCAGGCTTCTGAACCCAGGGCAGCCAGGTGACCCCTGCTGCAGGCAGACCCCTGAGGACCTGTGTCTACTGTAGTCACAATAACAGCACAGTGAGAACTTAGACATTCTGAAAAATGCACAAAATTTGAAACCAGAACACTTGAGATTGGATCCCAACTCTAAAATTTTAGCAGGCAAGCCCCTTTAAGTGTGTTTGTTTGTTTGATTGATGATTTCACCCAACCTTTTCCCGAAAGGATTGAGGTGATTTATCACAGAGGCCATATAGAGTTAATAAAATGGAAGATAAAGATCAAGGAAAGAGAGGAGGAAGACTTAAGGTTGAACAATTTGCTCTATTTGGATCTGAACTTCCTGGTAACTTGGCAAAAAAATGTAAGAAAAATCAGATACAGGGTTCTCGTTATTAGAAAACAGGAAGAAAATCAGTTGCACAATGACAATGAAATTCTTCCTGGAAGTAGATTTTAGCAGAACTAGGGAACTCGGTAGAGTTTCTGCGTTTATATCTCCTAATCTATAATCAGAAGTGACAGGTACTTGGGGTGGGGGCTGGGAGGAACAGGTGTAGGCTGTTTTGTTTTAATTTAAAAAAATTTAAAAATGGCAGGGATAGCTTTTCTTCCAACACCATAAGCTGTTGTGAAGAGCTTCCATTGGCATAGGGTGTTTTAATGCCACCATTTGCAAACTGGGAATGTGGGGACTCATCTGAAGGCTGACTGAATAATCAACAGGTGGATTCCTCCCTCTGTCGGAGGGCTCTGTCTCTGGTTCTCCCTATAGCTCGGAAAGGAAATTCCCCTCCCAATTCTGGCTTCTCCCTAGCATATCTCTTATTCACCTACTGTTTGGCTCAGCCAAGCTCAGGAAAGGGGAGGGAGGCAGGAAGCCTCATCTCTGCAACCACAGCATGAAGCCCATGAGTCGTGGAGTGCGTTTCCCAGGGTGCCCCACAAACCACCTTCATCAAAAGCACCTGAAGAGCTGGGCTACATCCCAGACTCACATATCAGAATCTCTGAGGGTGGGGCCCAGGAATCTGCACTTTAACAAGCACTGCTCCTCCCAGGCAACTCTAAGCACTAAAGTTTGAGGCCCACTGCACTGACGCAAGTGAGAGTCTAGCCGCCCTGCTTTCAGATGAAAGCTCCGTCCTACGGTCCTCGCTTGCTCCTGACAGCGACTTACCGCCACAGACTTGACCTGCTTCCCAGCAAACCAGCGCAGCTGCTCCAGGACCCCTCTGAACACCTCTGTCTTTTGGGCAGGAAGCTTAGCAACAGCATCAACCAGGGTCTTTTCCACGATGCTTAGGGGGCAAGCAGCTCCGAAGGAGATACCTGGGAACACACATTCGGAATCCCAGCAATTCTTCCCACAGTTCAGAAGAGGCTTTCATGCACAGCTCCTCTGAAGCTTTCCAGCAACCCGAGCAAGGCTGAATCAGGACTCACAGCTTTACATGGATGAGGAAATTAGGGCCCAGAGCGGTTAAGTGACTTAACCAATGCTACACAGCTAATAAAAGAGCCAGTACTCAAGCTTAGGCCTCTTGATCCTACAACCGATGCTGTTTCCTCTAAGCCAGTAGTTCTCAACTCATTAAAATCAGAATCTCTGAAGGTGAAGTCCTAGCATGCTTTTCAAAAGCACTCAAGCACAACCCCCACCTCCCCACCCCCGGATGAGTGATTCTAATGTGTAGCCAGAATTGAGAAAATGATGGAAGATCCCACAGCCTCTTGCCCATTGGCACCCTACCATGGATGTTTGATGGAGAAAAGGCAGTGAATGGGGTCTCTCCTGCTTTTCCCCGTGCAAGACGAGCCCCAGGAGAAGCAGGAGGCAGCCAGAGCCAATGGGGAGGCCACCCTGACACCTGTCACCCATCGTGTAACCTATCCCCAGCCTCATAGCCCCTCCATGAGCTTGGAGTGAACCTCCCCTTACCCTCGGGTCCATGTTCTATTGAATTCAGCTCAGGGATCCAGGCTGGGCAGACGATCATAGGAAACAGCATATTCTTGAACTTCATCTCAATGCCTAGAGAGAAACGAGAAGCTGAAGTTGTAGGCCCATTGTATCACCAGGGCAGGACTTAGCAGCTTTTCTCACCATTACACACAGGATATATGACATATTCACAATCATAATATGCTCCCTGGTGACTGTAGGTGTCTGGGAATAGGAAACTCAGTAGACCGGGGTGGGATTAGATGTAGTCTTTGGACTGTCCGCCCAAAACTAGATCTTTCTTTCCCTCTCAAAAAACCTATCTGAATTCAAATGAAATGAGTTTCAATTCACTCGTGTGTGTGTGTGTGTATGTGTGTGTGTGGGTGTGTACAACATTAGGAAACACAGGAAATTAGGTATGCCAGGAACCCTTCCAAGCACTTTCCCTATTTTAACTTATTTAATCCTTACAACAACCCTACGAGGTACCATGATTTTTCTGTTTATAGATGAAGAAGCTGAGGCACAGAAAGGTTAAGTTTCTTGCCCAAATCACACAGCTAAGAATAACCAAATTTCAGTACTGGAATGCTTATTCATGTTAGGGTATAATCGTAATAAAAACATGAAAGTTTAACATTAAAACAAAAAAGGAAAATGAGAAGGAAAACTTCAAATCTGTCCTCCAGGTCCCAGCAACTTTTCTGAGGTCACACATCCAGCAAGGGGCTGAGCCAGGCCTGTGGGACTCCACAGCCAGGGGCCTTTGCAGGAACTGGAGTGTACAGGGCTTTCTGGTGGGCTCTAGGTAGTCAGTGGGGCAGAGGGGTAGGGTGCAGAGGCAAGTAAGGTCAGGGGGACGTGAGGATGGGCAAGAAGACCTAGAAACACCCCCAAGCCCCCTGGCAGCCCCAGAGCAGCCTCCCCGGCCCTTACCAATCTCCGTGTTCCCCACCACCAGCTTGGCATCGGGGTACTGAGCCTTGAGGTCCAGCAGCTCCTTGAGGGTTGAGGCCTGTATCCACGTCACACGCTCCCCTTCAAATCGCAGCTGCTTCTGAGGAGTGTCTTTCAACCTCTGGGAAATGCAGTTTTCTTACTACACTGTCTCCCTCTTCCTACCATCATTCCTCTTATAAATTGCTTTAAGTCCACAATGGGATGTTTTACTGACATTCAGAATGAAAATATCTATCAGGAAGAAGCAAGGGGAAGTAATATGTTCAAAGGCAGGAACTCCACTGGGACTATTAAATATATGCTTAGTCTTTACAAGACCTCTATGAAGGAGGCAGTATGAGCCTCATTTTCACCAGTGAAAGAAGATCCTGAGGGTCAAGGAGGTTATGGGACCTGCTGAAGGTCACCTGCCATGAGGGATCCCCAACAGACCTGGCTGAAAGCCCAGATTCCTTGCAGTTCCCCTTACTGTCTCCAGGGGGCACCATGGACAAGGCATGAGGAAGGAAGGAAGGAAGGAAGGAAGGAAGGAAGGAAGGAAGGAAGGTAGTTATGGACCTGCTGAAGGCTACCCACATGAGGGATCCTCAACAGACTGGCTGAGTTTCAGATTTCAGTAGTTCCTCACACCTGTGTGTGGGCACCAAGTATATGTGATAAAGAAGTTAAATAAATAAATAATAATAAAGAATAAGGGGCAAGTAAAGAAGTGGGAATAGCAAGGAATAGCAATACATAAGGTGGGCAATAAGTATTGAAGCAGCAAGGTCATAGGGAATAATAGAAATAAGGCCTGTTATAGGAATAAACAGAGCAATAAAAATAGGAAGGAAGGAAGGAAGGAAGGAAGGAAGGAAGGAAGGAAGGAAGGGTTTGTTATAGGGAAGGAAGGAAGGAAGGGTTTGTTATAGGGAAGGAAGGAAAGAAGGAAGGAAGGAAGGAGGAAAGAAGGAAGGGTTTATTATAAGGGGATGCCTAGGAAGGCTGGCTTTAGTGCTTGCAGGGTGACACTGGGCTGAGAATGAAGCCCTCAAATAAAACTGCCGGTATTTTCAAAGTTTCACAGTCCAGAGAAAGATCTGCTGGTGGCCTACTGCAAAGCCATTCTCTCTGGCCTGCTGAAGCTACAAGGCAGTTTTCATGAGCTCAACACCCTGAGAAGCATGCACTTCAAAAACTCCGAGTGGCTTGATTCTTTTGTTGCCATAAATATTAGAGTGACGGTGATAAAGTGGGTGTGAGGGGGTTTCCTTAAGACACAACTGTGAGCTGCAGATCATGTCCTTTGAAGAGAGCTCTCTTTTTGGTTGTTTTGTTTTGTTTCTTCTTAAATAAATTGATTGCTTATAGAGGGAATAGGTTTATTGGGGTGCTTATGTATTAGATATAGGCAGGAGATCAACAAATGGTTATAGTGCGCCTATGCTACACAGTGTGCCCAGAGAGCCAGTCCCTATCCTCATGGGGCTTGTCATTTAGCAAAGAACACAGACATCAAATTAGTAACTGTGTGACACACATGAACAGAAGTGCAGGGACTGTGGGCACACATAGCAGAGACTCAACCTAGGGGGTGTCAGAAAGTGGAAGGGAAATTTAAGCTGAAACCTAAAGGACAAGAAAGACACAAAGTTCCCAGTGGGTATGAAAATAAAGCAGGTCTCCAGGGACTCACAGTACAGACTCGGCTGGGCCTGTCCCTGAGGCATTACCTACCAGCAACTCTGGGGGAAAAATGGGCTCCTGGGTGGGATCCAGGGGCGTGAACTCCTCTGGCTTGAATAAAGATGGTGAGAGACTGACCTACGGGGAAAGAGAACAGGTAGATGGGGCAGTATCCCCTCCTTTCAAACACCCAAGAGGACCAATTCAGCCTTTCCTTCCAGCCGGCTCATTCCCAGCCCCCTACAGGGTGCAAGAGGAGCAGGTAATCCTTGGGAGGCAGGAATGAGAGGGTCTCAGTTAGAGGACCTGGGGCTAAAGTGCACCATCACCATCCCCATCTACGAGGGCAGACTATGTAGTAGTCTACGTAGACTCATCTACGGTGAGTCCGCCATCACTGACTTACCGTAGGTTCCTTTTCCAGCCCCCACTGCCAGGGACATGGAGCTTGTGAACGGACTCCTCTAAGTCTCAGATTACCCCCAGGCTTCCAGGGGGAGAAGAACTCACTTACCAAGTGGTCTTTCTTCTGGCTTATGCAGCAGTTTGGATTGTTCCCATCTCCTTCACAGCATCCACCACCCTAGAGAGATGATGAACATTTGCACAAGGGTATTTACAAAGAGTATTCACAGAAGCTAAGGAACCTAGATTATTAATATCCAGAACACTCCAGCTCTGATGCCTGTCCCAGCATGAACAGCGGGGGCATCCTACCTGCCTGTCGTGCGGAGTGGAGGCCTCAGCTACATTCCCTCTTGCTTGGCTAACATAGATTAAACAAATAGAAGCAATAAGGTCATTGAATTTCAGGAAATTTAATTTTCTCCATAAAAACTAGGTCCTACTTTATCAATACTCATCCCTTATGCCCATTTCTCTTCTTTAGTGCTGCTTCCTCAGGAAGCGTCTATGAGGGATATTCCCATTGGCTCTCTCAAGACTCAAGAGGCTCAACTTCCAGACCAGCAAGGTTCCATGGGGCGAGGCTGGTGTCTCCCAGGCTGGACTCTCTGCGGGACCCTGCCAAGGATGTCCAAGATGGGTGCTGGGCCCAGCACTGTGTCCAGCCAGTGTGCCCAATGGCCTCCCTACTGCTTATTAGGCACTTCTTCCCAGAAAGGTAAATGCTCTTCATTGCGCGCTGTGGGCCTGTTCTGGAGGAAGTATGCAGGTCAGACCACTCAGCATCTCTGGGGAAAGACTTGTTCAGGATCTCTTGGGATACCAGTGGCAGAGCACACACACAGTCTAGAATCACTACCTCCCAGCACTGAGGCATTGCAGGGTGGTGGTGGGGCGTGCTCAGCTGACTGATCTGCAGCTCAGGGCTTCAGAAGACAGACTCCTGGAGTTGTGCTGAGATGAAAAAGTAGGGAAAACTCATAGGCTCTGCCCCAGGCACTGGGGTAGTCAATTCCTGAAAAAGCAGTGCTTCTGCATGTCGGCCACAGGAGACACCATACCGTGCTGGCGTTTCCCAGAGGCTGTTTCACAAGTCATTGGCTTCCCCAAGAAAGCGCTCACGGGACGCTGGAGGTGTGACCTTGGAGAAGTTGTAAGCAGGCAGGCTGTGGCATCAGGAGAGAAACCCCCCACTCACCCCACCACCTGCACATGCTGCTCCGTGTACAGACTCTTCCTGCATTCACAGCTCCGGCACTGGATGCCAGACCTGCTCTGTCCATTCTGAGCCTCCCCCCAGCCAACCACCTTGCACTTCCCCTCTTTATTTAGACAGAAAGAAAGGAAGAAAGAGAGGTTTCTTAGTGCCTCTTCTCACGTTTCTTCTTGGAGAAGGAGTGACACAGGGAAATGCCCCGCCCTGCCTGAAGTGAAAGTCCTGAACCCCACTCACCTGGCCCTCCTGAGGAAGGCCGTATTTCACAGAAGCGCCTTTTCCAGACAAAGTGCCAGCGCATTATTACTTAGGTCTATTTTCTTGATAATTCATTGGTGTGTTAATGACATAAAATTACTGTGATGTGCAGTGATGTGTCACTGCCCTCAAGGTCTATTGAGGTTGGATAAGACTACATTTTCTCATCCCCACCCTCCTGAGATTCCTAGTTTACTAAATAGGCTAAGACTTCTGCTCTGGTGCCTTTTAAAAAAAAAAAAAAAAAAAAAAGGTTTATTTTTTTAGAGTGGTTTAAGGTTCACAGAAAAAACTGAGTGGAACATACAGAGAATTCCCAAATATCCCCTATCCCAACATATATGCACAACCTGCCTCACTTCAGCATCCTCAAAAATGGTACATTTGTTACAATTGATGGACCCACATTGACACATCATTATCGCCCAAAGTCCATAATTTATATGAAGGTTCACTCTTGGCGTTGTACGTTCCATTGGTTTTGACAAATGCGTGATTACATGTGTCCACCCTTATGATGTCTTACAGAATAGAGTTGTACTGCCCTAAAAAACCTCTGTGCCCTGACTATTCATCCATCTCTTTCCCCTAATCTCTGGCAACCACTAGTCTTTTTACTGCCTCCATAGTTTTGTCTTTTCTAGAATTTCATAGAATTGATATCATACGATGTGTAGCTTTTAAAGATTGACTTCTTTCACTTAGTAGTAGCAGTTAAGGTTTGTCTATGTCTTTTCGTAGCTCGATAGCGCCTTTCATTTTGGTACTGAATTAACATTCCATTGTTTGGACGTTCTACAGTTTATTCACCTACTGAAGGACATCTTGGTTGCATCTAAGTTTTGGCAATTATGAGTAAGGTTGTTGTAAGCGTTCCTGTGCAGGTTTTCATGTGGCAATAAGTTTTAAATTCATTTACGTCAATTCCAAGGTGTGTGATCACTGAGGTGCATGGTAAAACATGTTTAGTTTTGTAAGAAACTGCCAAATTGTCTTCCACAGTGGTTGTGCAATTTGCATGCTCACCAGCAATGAATGAGAGTTCATGTTGCCCCACATCCTCACCAGAATCTGATGTTGTCGGTGTTTTGGATTTGACCATTCTAATAGACGTGTGGTGGTATTTCACTGCTCTTTCAATTTGCAATTCCCTAATGACATGTGATGTTGAACTTACATGCTTACTGGCCATCCATATATCTCCTCTGGTGAGTTAGCTGTGCAGGCCTTTTACCCATTTTTTAATTTAGTTGTTCATTTTCTTATTGCTGAGTTTTATCAGTTCTTTGTATATTTGGATAAGTACTTTACAAGATGTGTCTTTTGCAAATATTTTTCTCCCAGTGTATGGCTTGACTCCTCACTCTTCTGTTATTAAATTTTAATGAAGTCCAGCTTATAATTATTTCTTTTATGGATCATGCCTTTGGTGTTGCATCTAAAAAGTCGTCATCATTCCAAGGTCATCTAGGGTTTCTCCTATGTTATCTTCTAGAAGTTTTATTGTTTTACATTTAGTTTTATGATTCATTTTGAGAAGGGTATAATGTCTGTGTCTAGATTCATTTTTTTAATTGTATGCAGTTGTTGCAGCACCATTTGTTAAAAGATCATCTTTGCTCCATCGTATTGCCTTTTCTTCTTTGTGAAAGATCAGTTGACTCTATTTATGTCGGTCTATTTCTGGGTTCTCCATTCTGTTCTGTTGATCTCTTTGTCCGTTCTTTTGTCCATTCTTTTTGTAGTATGGACTATGTCCATACTACACTGTCTTGATTACTGCAGCTTTCTAGTAAATCTTGAAATTGGGTAGTGTCAGTCCTCTGACTTTGTTCTCTATTTTCCTTCAATATTGAGTTGGCTATTCTGGATCTTTTTCTTCTCCATATAAACCTTAGGATCAATGTGTTGATAGCCAAAAAATAATTTACTGGGATTTTGTTTGGGATTGCATTGAGTCCAAGTTGGGAACAACAGACATCTTGACATGTTCAGTCTCCTTTTTCATGAAAGAGATATCTCTCTCCATTTATTTAGTTCTTTGATTTTGTTCATCAGAGTTTTGTAGTTTTTCTCATATAAATCTTGTACATACTTTTTAGATTCGTACCTAAGTATTTCATTTGTTGGGGAGTACTAATGTAAAACGTAAATGATAATATGTTTTGAATTTCAAGTTCCACTTATTCATTGCTGTTATATAGGAAAGTGATTAACTTTTGTATTACTTCTGATTCTATCTTCTGGAAGAGATTGTAGAGAATTGACATAATTTCTTTTTTAAATGTTTGATAGGATTTACCAGTGAATCTGTCTGGGCCTGGTGCTTTCTGTGTTAAAGGTTATTAATTAATGATTCACTTTCTTCAATAGTTATAGGCCTATTCAGATTATCTACTTGTATGAGTTTTGGTAGCTTACATCTTTCAAGGAATTGTTTTATTTCATCTAGGTTATCAAGTGTATGAGCATAGAGTTGTTCTTAATATTCCTTCATTATCCATTTAGTGTACATGAGATCTACAATAAGATCTTTTTATTTTGATATTAGTAATTTGTATCTTCTCTTTTTTTTCTTAGTTAACCTGGTCAGAGACTTATTAATTTTATCAGTCTTTTTAAGGAACCAAATTTCAGTTATGTTGATTTTCTCTATTGATTGTCTGTTTTCAATGAAATTGATTTTTGCTCCAAATTTTATTTTTCTTCAGCTTACTTTGAATTTAATTTGTCTTTTTTTTCTAGTTTTCTAAAGTGGGAGCCCAGATTACTGATTTTATTTGTATTTTATTTTTATTACTTTATTTATTTATTTATTTGAGATGGAATCTTGCTCTGTCACCCAGGCTGGAATGCAATGGCACAATCTTGGCTCGCTGCAACCTCTGCTTCCCAGGTTCAAGTGATTCTCCTGCCTCAGCCTCCTGAGTAGCTGGGATTACAGGTGCGTGCCACCAGGCCTGGCTAATTTTTGTATTTTTAGTAGAAACGGGGTTTCACCATGTTGGTCAGGCTGGTCTTGAACTCCTGACCTTCTGGTCTGCCCACCTCAGCCTCCCAAAGTGCTGGGATTACAGGAGTGAGCCACCGCGCCTGGGGGATTACTGATTTTTAATCTTCCTTTCTAATATATGCATTCAATATTATAAATTTCCCTCTCAGTGTTGTTTTCACTGCATCTTACAAATTTTGATAAGCTGTATTTTCAATTTCATTTAATTCAAAATATTTTAAAATTTCTCTTGAGATTATCTTTTTGAACTTCTGTTCTTTTGAATTGTGTTGTTTAATCTTCAAGCATTTGGGGGTTTTCCAGCTATCTTTCTGTTATTGATGTCTACTTTAATTTCATTTTGGTTTGAAAGCAGACATTGTATGATCTCTATTCATGCAAATTAAATTTGTAAATGTGTGTTTCATAGCACAGAATGTGGTCCATCTAGGTGAATATTCCACGTGAGCTTGAGAAAAATGTCTTCTCTGCTGTTTTTGGCTAAAGTAGTCTATAAATGTCATGATATCCAATTAATTGATGGTGCCGTTGAGTCCAACTATGTCCTTACTGATTTTTCACCTGGTGCTGTCCATTTCTGATACAAGGGTGTTGAAGTCTTCACATATAATAATGGATTCACCTATTTGTCTCTGCAGTTCCATCAGATTTGTCTCATGTATTTTGAAGCTCTGTTGTTAGGTGCATACACATTAAGGACTGTTATGTCTTCTTGGAGTATTGATTCCTTTATTATTTTTAGTGCCCCTCTTTTTCTCTGGTAACTATTCTTGATCTGAAGTTTGCTGTGTACAAAATAAATATGCTACTTCCACTTTCTTTTGATTAGTATATCATGGTCTACCTTTCTTCACCTACTTAGTTTTAATCCATGTGTGTATTTTTATTTAAAGTAGGTTTCTTGTAGACAACATATAGTTGGGTCTTGTTATTTTCATCTACTCTAACAATGTCTGTCTTTTAAATGGTATATTTAGATCACTGACATTAAAGGTAATCATTGATGCAGTTGGATTAGTATCTACCATATTTGTTATTGTTTTCTATTTGTCGTCCTTGTTCTTTGCTTCTAGTTTTGTCTTTCACACATTTTCTGACTTTTGTGGTTTTAACTGAGCATTGTAAATAATTTCATCTCCTTTCCTTTCATAAAATATCAATTATACTTCCTTTTTTCTTTTTTTTCTGGTAGTTGCCCTAGAGTTTGCGGTTTACATTTTTAACTGATCCAAGTCCACTTTTAAATAACACTATGCCACTTTACCGGTAGTGATAGTATCTTATAATAACAAAGTATTTCTAATTTTTCCCTGTGTTTTGTTTTATCATTGTTGTCATTCATTTTACTTATACACAAGCACATATATATATACACATATGCACACACAAACAAATGCATTGTTGCTATTATTATCTTGAACAAATTGCTATCTGTTAGACCAATTAAGATTAAGAAAAATAAAAATTTTTATTTTACCTTTACTTATTCATTCTCTGATGCTCTTCCTTTATGTAGATCTGAGTTTCTGGCCTACATCATTTTCCTTCTCTTTAAAGAACTTATTTTAATATTTCTTACACGACAGGTCTACTGGCAACAAATTCTCTCAAGTTTTGTTTGAGAAAATATTTCTCACTCACTTTTGAAGGATACTTTTGGAGGTTACAGAATTTTAGGTGCTTTGGTTTTTTCTTTCAATACTTTAGGTATTTTACTCCATGCTTCTTGCTTGCATGGTTTCTGGGAAAAGTCAGATATAATTTTATGTTTGCTCTTCTGTAGGTGAGGGGTGTTTTCCTCTGGCTTCTTTCAAGTCATTTTTCTTTACCTTTGATTTTTTTGAAGTTTGAATATCACATGCCTTGGTGTAGTTTTTGTTTTGTTTTGTTTTGTTTGGTATTTATCCTGGTTTGTGTTCTCTGAATTTCCTGACACTGGTTTAAAGTCTGATGTTAATTTTGGGAAATTCTCAGTCATTATTGTTTCAAATATTGCTTCTTTTCCTTTCTCTTTTTCTTCTTCTTCTGATATTCTCATTACACATATGTTACACCTTTTGTAGTTATCACACAGTTCTTATTTGTTTCTGTTTTGTTTTCATTCACTCCCTTTTCTCTGTTTTTTGGTTTGAAAGTTTGCATTGTTATATCCTCAAGATTAGAGATTCTTGTCTCAGCCATGTCCAGTCTACTAATGAGCCCACCGAAGGTGGTCTTCAATTTGGTATAAGTATTTTCAATCTCTAGCATTTCTTTTTAATTCTTAGAATGTCCATTCTCTGTTTACATTATTGATCTGTTCTAGTATGTTATCTATTTTCTTCCATTAAAGCTCTTAGCATACTAGGCATAGCTTTATAAAATTCCTCTTTTGTTAATTCCAACATTCCTGCCCTATTTGACTCTGGTTCTGCTATTTGTTCAGTCTCTTCAAATTGTGTTTGCCTTTGACTATGCCTTATAATTTTTGGTTGAAAGGTGGACATGATGTACTGGCTAAAAGGATCTGATGTAAATAGGCCTTCAGTTAATTTATTGGTAAGATATGAGGGAGAAGTATTTTATAGTCCTAGGATTAGTCTCAGTTTTTTGGTGAGCTTGTGCCCCTCGCCTGTGAACTTCACAAGTGCTTCTCAGGTTTTTCCTTTCTCCGTTTGGTGGGAGAGGATGGCTGGAGGGGGCTGGGCTTGTGTATTTCCCTTCCCACGGGTGAAAGACTAGAGGGTGGGGGGTTGCATATTTCCCCTCCGCAAGGTAGGTTAGGCTCTAATATAACCTCAGAAGTTTAGGCTGTGGTAAAATAGTTTCTCCTGAGGGCAGGCCTTTTTAAGAAGTACAGAATACTCTGGTATATTCCAAAATGGTTCATTTTTCCCACTCCCTACCAGAAACACAAGGAGATTTTTCTCCAGCATTTACTGTGAGGACCTGGTGGACCGCCTGGAGGTAAAACTCACAAAGATGCAGAGCACCCCCTCCATGACTACATCCCCCTGTAGTTTATATCCAGGTATAAACTCCAGCAATTCATCAGTTAGTACTTACATCTTCCTATCCTGGCAAAGATTCCTGCAGCGGTTTTTGCTCCTGGGTTTCTGCTCTGATGTGCCATGTCTGCCTGTCTGTCTCTCCAATTTTTTAGACAATGAGTTGTCCTGTGACCTCATTCCTCTGATGGATCTAAAAACAATTGTTGATTCTTCAGTTTGTTCAGCTTTTCTCTTCTTGTTTAGATGAAATAAAGACTCCTAAGCTGCTTACATGCCAGACCAGAAACTGGAAGTCTTGCTTGTACCTGTTTAATGGTTCCTCCATTTCTTTCCTTGTCGCCAGATAGGTGTGGTCACTTCTTGCTGTGAGCAGTGTGCCCACCTCTACCTGACCCTCTACACACTTTCTAGTGTGTGCTGTGGACAGGAAAACTAGATAACCAAGTTTGTTAGAGCTGTGTGTAAAATAAAAGTAAAAAGGCTCTGAAGAAACATCTTGGGGACCTCCGATGAGGAACATGCATTAGCTTCTGAGCACCTTTTGTGTGTCAGGCATTTTGGCTGCTCAGAGCTCTCAGTCGTGTTCTGCTCTATGCTGTAGGTAGCTGAATTGAAGGAGGTAAGTGCTGCATGGTGAATTCAGGAGCCATTTCAACTTCCAGGAGGGAAGGCAATTGATATACTCAAAAATCCTTCTCTTTTGAAAAATTGAGAGGACTGGTTACATTTTATCACTTTGAGCAGGTTCTAATGAAGTAAATAGAGGCAAGATTAACAATCCCTGATTCTCAGGAAACACTGAGTAACTTGGGAAGATTATATAGCGGCTAATGGAAGAAATGTACCAGCATTATAATTTATAGTTCCCATTTATTGAATAACCGAAATGTGCCAGGCATTGTTCTAAAAGCTTTTCAAGAAGTACCTAGTTTTTATAAACACAGTAAGTTAGATATTCTAATGAAATCACCTAATGAAATCACCATTTTATTAGGTTGATACAAAAAAATTACAGTTTTTTCCATACTTTTAATGGCAAAACCACAGTTACTTTTGCACCAACCTGATAGAAACAAGGAGACTTGCCCAAGGTCGGACATCAATTAAGTGCATCAAATTGAACCCAGGTCTGCAGAATCTGAATTTGTGCTTTTAGGCATTTTCATTTAATTCCACACTTGCTAATTCTTCATCATCAGCAGCATTAATCAGAGTGTGGTGTTTTCCATCCTTATAAGGTCCTGTCTCCATGTCTACCCACCCCTTCTTGGATTACATGCACACAGCACTCTTTCATGATGTGCCAACCCTAAAGGTGAGTGGAAAGCATAGGAGTCTGTAACTCCCCTGGACCCAGGAGCAAATCGAAATGAGATGGTTTGATTTGGAGTCAGGATTAACTTGGCCCAATTGAGAAGTCAGGTACAACCTGGGGGAAGATTAAGCCAAGAAAGGAGATGCCAGCTCTCTTGCCTTCCTTGCCAGATGGCAGGTGTGTGTATGTGTTTATATAATCAATGCCCACACACCCAGCTGTGACTTCTCACTCAGAGTTATATGAACACTGCAGGGGTTCACAAACTGTCTGGAGATCTAATTACCAGTTTCATAAGCCCAACAGAGTGCCAGCCACAGAAAGCAGCCAGGAGAGCAAAGGAGGAGGGGTGCAAGTGCTGAGCAAGGCCAGGTTGTTATTAAATGCTACATTCAGCACCTGTGCCATGGGCTGAGCCTGCCAGTCTCCAAGGGAAAGCTGCCAAACCCAAAGGCACTAGAGGAAGCTAACTCTTAGGCGGTGAGCCTCTTCCAAAGCCGGTCTCCAGACCATCACTGGCAGAAATTCCCATGCTATTCATAAGAACCCTTCCCTGAATAAAAATAGCAGACTCTACTCCCCATGCCAGATGTCCCCAGAGGGAAGACTCACTAACTGGTCTCTTATCATCCTTGTTTGTAGACCAGAGGCCCTTGGTTTCCCTCCCAACAGTGATTTCTGAGCGTTGCTGTTTTAGGAGCAGAGACACTGATGTTCTGGAGTCCCCACTTACCCTGGCGAAGGTCCGGAAGCCCTGGAGGATGGGTCTGTAGCCTGTGCAGCGGCACAGATTTCCTGTGGGCCAAGGAGAAAACTGCAATGTCAGTGCAGGTCCCTGGGATGGGTGAGGAGTTTGTGACTTTGCTTGCAGCTAAGTTGGGTGCTCTCTTTACCAGGCTGCATATTCTATTACCTCTGTCTAGAAGGCCTCTTGGCCTTCTCCTATCCTGACTTCAGAACATCTGTCATGACTTCAGTAAGTCTTTCCTAGAGTGGAAGCCTGCCTAGAATGCCCAGACTGAGTCAGGTGCCTCTCCTAAGTGCTCCCACAGTGGCTGATCATAGCTTCATCAGTTAGCCTATCAGACTACATTATAAAGTCTCTTCTTCAGAGTATGAACTTTTTGAGAGTAGAGGCTGTGCCTTTTATCCCTGTGGCATAGGATGTGACTCAAAATAACTGAATAGATGATGGATAGAAATGGTGAATAGATGGGGAGGCTTCTCTATTTAATTCAGAGAAACAGACACATAGGTGGTCTTTGCCCTGCAGAATCCTGTTCTGGTGAAATCTGAGAGGGAAGGAAATCATATCATCAGCCCCTGTGGAGTTTTCCTGCACCAGCCATGCACTGCCAACCCCACTCCAATACCGGTGGAAGGCAGACAGACACCTCAGGAAGATGAACCCAAAGGCAGGAGACCCCAGGAGGTCTCCACACCAACCGGGAGTTCTTCCAACTAAGAGAGGGTTGGCTTTCTAGCAGATCTTAGTCACCGCATTGTCGGGGGGTGGGGGGCCTGAGCCCTTCCTCCAAAGGGTAGTCCCTCATGTTCCTTGCCCTGGCACTTGCCCTCACCTCTTCAGGACCTCGTTTGCCATTCTACCTCCTAGGCTGTGCCTGAAGGCCCGTACCTTGGAAGGCATTCTCAATCTCCTCAATGCTGGGCTCAGGCTGATTCCGGAGCAGTGTGTACATACTCATGACGATGCCGGGGGTGCAGAACCCGCACTGGGAGCCGTGGCTTTTGGCAATTCTCTCCTAAAAGGAACAGATGACATAGACACTTGGGATAGCAGAACCCTCCCTGGCTCCCCAAAGGACTTGACTGGAGCCAGCCCATGTTGAGAGACAGTGGGGGGTAGCAGTCACTGCACAAAGACAAGCCCCAGTGCCACCATTTACCAACGGTGACCTTGGCCAGGTTCCAAGCCCTTTGAGTCATAGGTTCTTCATCTGTATGATGAGGACCATCCTTGTAGTTGCCTCTAGAGCTGTGATGAGGATTAACTGAGATAATTCATGTAAAACCCTTAACACTATACCTGCATATAGCAGGCAGTCAGCCAATGTTAGCTATGACTAGGAAGGTCTTTTCCAAGAACAGTGACTATCATAACCAGAAGGCAGCTTCTGAATGGATTGGGTGTGGCATATGAGAGAAACAGTCAAAAGTGATCTAGATTTTTGTCTTAAGCAACTGGGTGGATGGCTTTGCCATTGATTTAGATGGGAGAAGACTGGGGAAGGAAACCATCAGGAGAAAAGTAGGGTTTTCTTAAGTTTGAGATTAGACATCCGTATTGAGATGTCAAATAGGCAATTGGAAATGTAAGTCTAACTTCTGAGGAGAGGTCAAAGCTGAAGTTGTAAATGTAAGTGCCGATGGCATGTGGACAACATCAAACTCATGTAGGGAGAGTGTAGGGATGAGGAAGGGGAGGAGCCTAGGTCAGGGCTCAGGGCACTGCAGCAATTAGAGACTGAGCAGAAGAGGAGCTAGTGTGGAGAGAGAAGGAAAAGTCAGAACCACAGTGTCACAGAAACCAAGAGAAAACAAATAAATGGACAAGAAGTGGAATCTGGCTCTGTAGCCTATATGTAACCAAAATAAGTGCATTAGGAATAAGAACCTGTACCATTGGACAGGGAGGATTTTAGGTTGATTATACAGATATGACCTGATGTGGTTTGGCTGTGTCCCCACCCAAATCTCATCTTGAATTATAGCTCCCATAATTCCCACGTGTTGTGAGAGGGACCCTGTGGGAGATAACTGAATCATGGGGTGAGTCCCCCATCCTGTTCTCATGGTAGTGAATAAAATCTCACGAGATCTGATGGGTTTCTGTTTTCACTTAGGTCTCATTTCTCTCATCTGCCACCACGTAAGATGTGCTTTTCACCTTCTGTCATGATTGTGAGGCTTCCCCAGCCACGTAGGACTGAGTCCATTAAACTTCTTTTTCTTTATAAATTACCCAGTCTTGGTATGTCTTTATCAGCAGTGTGTGAATGGACTAATACTTGACTCCTGTGTTTAAACTATTTATTCTTTCTTTCATCTATTTGTTTCAAAGAAAATAACAAGTCTTAATTAACCCTCTCACATCTCCTTCAGGTTGGACAAGTTTAGTAATTTCCCCTCTTCCTGCCTAAGAAACAAATCTACAGATGGAAAGCAATATCACCGCGACCTGTCTGACCTCACATGACTGGCCCAAGATGCCATTCCAAGGAATAGAACCAGCCACTCTGCAGGAGGCTCCTACTCCATCACCTGAATGACATGTCTCCTCAAATAATCAAGGGAGGATTAAGACCTGGGTCAAGCTCTGGTAACGTCTATTATAATCTCCCAAAGACCTCAAGTTTCCTCAAACAAAATGCTTTGGGGACAATGGCCGTTCCTTCCAACAGGGTTCTACTCCCCTTTCTTTCCACTTGGCCTAAGAGCATCCTGATTGTCTCCCCAAGCCCCTCTCAGATTATCACTGCCCACTCACCCCAGAAGTGTTTCGGATTTCCATGCATTTTCAGGTGGCCTGACACCATCAAGGAGAAAGCCTTGCTCAGGCACTAAATCTCTGTCATCTTATTTAGCACTTGCTAACCTCCATTCTAATGAAGGTGAAGGCCTAGCAGTTTACATTTGTACTATCTGTGGGTGGGAGGTAAGGGGTGCGGAACTACCATTGCAGGGAGTAGGTGGGCTTATAAACAGGGGGCACAGATAATCAAAATTCAAATCTGGGAAGGCTGGGAGTTTCCTAAACACACTCCAGAACAAAGTGAGGAAGCTTCCCTGCATCTCTTCCTCCAAATTCTGGTGCAGCTGGACTGCCCTAGCCACCAGATTCAGTTGACCTCTTGGGTCCCTTGAGATCATGCAATGTTATAACCAACCAGCTCACAGGAAGGAGATTCAGCCTTGGGCGTTTCTTCTTTTCACCTTATGGTACCCAGAGGAGATGGGGAGGTGGCCAGGGTGCAACTGCCTCCTTAGATTAAGCAGTGAAACTCTGCCTAACAACCCAAAGCAAGTCTGCACCTTTGGCATGAGCCTCCCTGCAGAGGAAACAGCATGATCTCAAGAGCACAGCTCCCTTTCCTCTGTTTACCTGCACAGGATGCAGCCTCGTCTTGGTGCTTCCTATTCCTTCCACAGTTGTCACTGCAACATGGTGCAAGGAGCAGATGGGAGCCAGGCAGGCATTGGCAGAAAAGTGGCTAGAGCCCCAGATTAAGGTCATTCCATTTATTGTCCACTCAGGTCATCAGAATGGGCCTGACTGTGGGCTCTGGAGGACTTTGTGAGGCTGTATGTTATGTCTCTCCGCTCCCATTTATGTTCTTATATCTTCTACCAGTGTCCTCACCTCTCCACTAAAGACTCTGGGCAAGGAACAAAGGAAGCCCTTCTTGTAGGTAACGAAAGCTGAGCCCTTCCAGAATCCTGTGGGATCAGGCATCGGAGTATCCTCAGCCTCTGAGCAGGAGCAAGGGAGCCAGGGTCACTTTCAGTTGCCTGTTACTCAGCCTGACCCTGGAGGCTGAGTCAAGGGGAAGTTTCTCTGGCAGGCTGCAGCCTTGAAGCATGCTTCTGCCTGCAGGGCTCTTCCCTAGCCTCGGTGCCAGAACCTCCAATCACTTCGCTTCCCTGCATGTCCTCACCTCTATTGCTTTTGTTCCTCTGTGGGGAAAGGGAGAGGGAACCTCCTGGCAACATGAGACACCAAGCCCTTAGCTAGGACTTCCTTGCATTCTTCTGTTATTCATCACTCATTCACTTACAATCAGCATCAGTTACTGAGTGCCAAATGTGTCAGGCACCCTGCTGAGGGCTGGGGAAATAAAGATGAATAAGACGAAAGCTCTGCCTTTCAACAGCCTGCAGTCAACCGGGAAAACTGAAGCCCATGTGAAGGTGCCATTTAAATCTTGTTAAAGTAAATTTAAAAGGAGACCAGGCCTGAAGACTCAGCAGAAAAAACCAGTTAGGCCTCATAAGTGACCTAAACTCTGCTTGATTTGCGGGAAAGTTTTAACTTGAGTTACTTCTTATGAACATCTTTATTTAGAAAAATAAGCCTTAAGATCAACCAATCAGAAGTAGTCAATGAACTTGTAATTATAGAACTAGGGACTTTCCAATGGGATAGACCAAATAAAGCAATTGTATAATTGTAACCAGTCAAATAACTTCTTTGCTCTTTGCCTGTGTCCATCCTACAAAAACCTCCTGCTTGCATTTCCCTGGTGGAGCACCTAAACTGCTTCTAATTTGGAGCTGCTTGAACTCGTGAACTGTTGTTTTCTCAAACTGTAAAAAAAAAATTGTATCATGTCTCAGTTTACCTGGGAAGGCTGTGCACAGGGCACTATGGGACCAGCACAGTCAAGGGGCACCTAACCCGGTCCTGAGAGATCCAGGATGGCTTCCTGGAGGTGGTGATATTTTCATCCAGTTCTAAAGAGCTAGTAAGAGTTAGCCAGGTAGGGAAATCCTAGGAGAACGTCCCAGCTTAAACAAAGACCAAGCAATTAGTGGGCCTGTGTCATTGATATTTCATAATTATCTCTGCTTGAATGGAGTGCTGGGCCCATGGTGAGAAAGAAAACTGGAGAAGAAATGTGGGGCCTACTGTGCAGGGCCTTGCCCACTAAGCAAAGAGATTTTGTCCTGGGGGCAATGAAGAGTTATTGACAGGTTTTATGGAATGTGATATAAACCTGGATTTTAGAAAAGTCATTTTATCAGCGGTTTGGAGTCTGGTCAATATGATAAGCCTAGAACATACTTGCTAAGAGATCATTCTACAGTTTTCCTGTGCACAGATTCTCCTTAAAAACAGGGGCTCACACACATGCACATGCACACACATACACTCATGCACTCCCTCACAAGTTGGTCCTGCATCACAGCCCCCACGTGGGTGGTGCCAGCAGGCAAAGGATACACGATCTTGTTCTGCAGACGATCATACTTGGAGAGCATCACTGTGCAAGCCCCACAGCCTCCCTCTCCACAGCCGAGCTTGGTTCCACTCAGCCCCACTGGGTGGTCAAGAGTTAAGGAGAATGAACTCAGGGAGAGGAGTCTGCTGGGTTGCTAGGAAATGCATAGGCAGAGCCGTGGGCAGAGCCATTCATTCCCACATGTGCTCAGGCCCCTTAACCCAGGAAGGCAGCAGGCCCACTGGCCTCCTTATTCAGAGAGACTGCACTGCACCCCAGGGAGGCAGGGAACAGGGCCATCTTCACTGCACAGAAGAGCAAAGGCATCAGGACCCCATGGACAGCACCCAAGTAGAATCTCTTGGGACATGAGTTCTAGGACCGGTCAGTCCTAGAGCCTTCTCTTGGGTTGAGGTCTTCTATGTGTGAGCAGGTAAATCATACACGTGAGCATACGGGGCAGTTCTCACATCACTCCTAGCTGGGCACACCATGAAGCCTCTTGGGTCAGAATGAGACATTGATCTGTTCTGGGACCTCTGAGTCCTCGCTTTTCACTCTGAACTTTTGGGCTGATAAATCCCCAAGAATCAAAATTAGGGCTAGACCAGAGGCTTTTGAATATTTGGCCCACAAGATATGTGAATGGAAATTAAAATAGAGTGGTTTGTTTTTAGGTCAGCGTCCAATACTGGGCCACACTCTTATATATACTTGCAGAAAGATCATCGGCTACTTTGAGTTTTAGAAGTGCCTAACTAGTGAGCTATTCTAGAGAACAGCTATTGCGGAGGTCACTTTCCCTGAGTCACATTGCGGCTTCTCCCTCAGACCTGCAGGCCTCTAAGCCGCCCACCACCTACTGAAGATGGAGGGAACTGAGGGGATTATCGCCTGGTCACTTCTCTCATTTTCAAGACAAAATTTAAAAACAATGATATAACATCTTATTTTGGAAGAGCACTTACACCTAGATACCTGTTTGACCTTCAGAATGATTTGGTTAGCAGGTAGGAAAGAAACTTCCTCATAGATTTGAAAAACAACAAACTGAGACCCAAGACGTAACGTGGGTCACACAAGATGACACGGGAACTCATGTTGCCCTGCCGTTGTGGCCGCATCACAGCCATCTGACTCCAGACTGGGTGAGCTCCCTTCATCAAGATCCTTCCTCCCCAGCACATCTGTGAAGGTTTGCTGTGTCCTAGTCAGGGTATACACAGCTCTCAGCGGGTCATACAACTCTGGGGGCACCTGAAGATGAATGGTGGCAGTCTAAAGTCTAGCAAGGTCTTCTCCCAGCCTGGAGACCTCTCTGGAAGCTAGGGTAAAAGTCAAGGCTGGACTTTTCTCCCCAGTCTGGAACGCCCGTAAATTGTCTCTGAGCACAGACAGTCATAAGCTGCAAGGTCATCCTATTTATGTGCCAGCTTTCAATTTTGCATTTCATTTAAGATGTGACACAGCCAATTGCTGTGATAAGGAATTTCTGAGGCTTCTGGGCCTTCAGAACTACAATGGAAATGATTAAAAAACTAAAATTAGTTTTATTATTAGAAAGCTAAAATTGATCTCAATAATCTCTGAGAAGGAGCTTCTCTTCCCAGACCTCCCAGGTAGATGGGCTGTAAATGGAGTTCCATGCAAGCACCTGATCCGATCCAGTGACACTTTCACTCCCCAACACCCCCAGGTTTATCTTCTGTGAACTTCCAGATACACCCACTTAAGGTAAAAATTCCAGAACAAAGTACACCAAAGCCAACCACTGTACTGTATGATAGGAGGGGAGCAAACCAGAGTGAAATCATGGGCTCCAGACTCACTTCTGTGGGGGTTGAAATAATCCTTGCTGTCCCCATATATGTCACTGGAAAGATCCACTAGACACCCGCCCTGGGAGAAGGAGGGTTTTGTTGACAGAGGTCAGGATGAGCACAGTCCTGCCGACAGGCCCCCTGGAGCGTTGCCAGTGTGAGTGAGAGGTTGGGAACATAGCTCTAGGCTTTGGTGCAGTCTCCATCACTATTTCCCCAGAACACACTAGCAAAAGGCAGGTCACTTCACATATCAAGGCCTCAGTTCCTCCTCTGTGGAAAGGGAGTGTTATGCTTCCATGGGATTCCTGTAGAGATTGAGGTGAGCTGCACAAATCACTTTGAATCCTGCCTGTATATAGGAAGTGCTCATTAAATGTTAACTCTAATTATTATTATTGTTTTAGTTCCAGGGTCTCAGAATACTTCTGATACTCAGAACTAAAGATTTAGGGGCTCTTCCAGAAGCTCCCTGACACTGAGTGAGGAGCAGCACCCCAGTCTCTCTAAAGAGTTCCCCCGCCCTCCAGGGCTCCCTGTTTGCTGTTTCTACAATGAATGCTACCTGTATAGGATTCCTACCTCAAGCATCCTTTTCCCAATAGACATAACTTCCCTTGCTTCCCTCCACCTAGGCAGAGCTGGAAACATTCCCCAGGAACTGTATTTATGTATTAAGCAAATGTCACCTAAGGAAGGCCCCCTCTTCCCACAGAGGAATGACCATGAAGCTCACCAAGGCTAATAAGGGCCTTTCTACAGGCCCTGGATTAAACCTTGGCATTACGAGACTCTTAGCTGGGAGACACCTCAAAGATCACCACAAACAATCCTCTCATTCAGTAGCTAAGAATCTCAGATTACAGGGGCAACTAAAATGCAGGTATCCCAAGTCCTAATCCAGCGCTCTTTCCTCCACACCTCATGGCCACCCCACCAGTCACTAGGAAACAATGTAAGGCCCAGAGAATCAGTCACCATTGCCCCCCTTCTCCATCACTCCCACTCCAAAGTCAGGATACACTTTCTTCTCAGGTAGGCCAAAAGGGTTGTCTCTGGATCTGCATTTTTCTCCACCACCTAGTAAAAGAAATGAAAGAAAAATATATCATAGGTATATTTAGTCATCCTTCCGCGATTTCTTCCTTCAGTGTCTCACTCAAGAATTTGTAGAGTTAGTGGGAAGTGTGTTAGTTGGACGTTGCCCCTCTAAAGCTCATGTTTAATTGTAATCCCCAGTGTTGAAAGTGGGGCCTAGTGGGAAGCAGTATGATCACAGGGGCAGATTTCTCATGAATGGCTTAGTGCTACCCCCTTAGTCGTGAATTAGTTCTCACGAGATATTTAAAAGTGCGTGGCATCGCCTCCTTCTCTCTCTCTCTTGCTCTTACTCTGGCCATGTGATGTGCCTGCTCCCACTTTGCTTTCTGCCATGAGTAAAAACTCCCTGAGGCCTCCCCAGAAGCCGAGCACATGCCAGTGTCATGCTTGTACAGCCTGCAGAACTGTGAGCCAATCAAATCTCTTTTCTTATAAATGACCCAGCCTCGGGTGTTTCTTTATAGCAAAGCATGAAAGGCCTAATACAATGTGCTAAATAGATCATGGAAACGTAGGTATTTTTATTCACAATTCCTTAAGAATGAACCTATAAACTACAGCCAGACTATGTATATGCTCAAATCCTTAAATTCTAAAATTGTACCTCAGTGCTCACCTTGGGACCCACCACAGAACATGCAGGCATTGCACCTTCCACATGGGTTCGACCAAAGCAAAGTCCCCCTCAAATCAAACCTGTCATCTCATTTCAACGGCTAGATCACACCTGTGAATTCCAGGGGCCTCTGAGAGCATGGCATGCAGATCTTGGACTTTGCCTCTTTGAATATACACTCTCAGACCCTGCGTGTGACTGTGGAAAGCCAGTCTGTTGGCCTGTGCTCAGAGCAGAGCATTGCATGTGATGGGTATTAGTCAACACTAACACATATCAGAAATGGAAGAGAAATCTCAAACCAAAGATCCCTCACTAGGTTCAATAAGGTGGAAAAAGTGGTCTAGAAAGTGCGATGTCAGTTTCCACTGTGAATTGTCAAAGGAAATCTACGAAAACCCGTTTCAGTACTTCTCACACATTACCAAAGCTTAAAAGGATGTGGATTATTGAAATAATAAAGACAGAGAATTCATTATGAGGTTTTTGTTAGACGGAACTATACTACCCACACCTTCCTAAAGGAGAAGGGGAGGAGTATTTGCCTCCCACCTCAAACTTAGTGAGGGGGCTTACTTTGTGCTACAAAGAAATCTAACATGCCACCTTTGCAGCATAGGGGAAGAGATAGGCTTAACAAGAAATCAGTACTGACAATGACAAGTTTAAACTCCTCTTTAAACTTAAGTTAGAGATGTGGCTGTGCTGGGATTGGTACATACTCCCAGAGCTTGGCAGAGCAAAGGATGCAGAAGTGTTGGCTATGGATGTAGTGCAAGCCATTCATGAGATAAAAAGAGTTGGCTTGGAGGTCTTTAAATCATTTCCCAAAATACAGGATGGAGCCTTCAATAAAGAGAGACTGTGTGGAGTGGACTTCCCCAAACTGGAGGCTGATGGAGAACAGCAACCTGAGAAAAGTGCATCACTCGTGTCATGACACATGCATGCAAATATTCTCTGTGGTGGCCCTTGAAGATCCTTGAAAGCCATCACAAGAAGAATGAAAGAGTCAGCTCCAAACACCTAAAAGACTCAGAAAGCTGGAAGCCACCTTACAACAGTACCAATTAAAGGAGAGCTTTCTTGCTACCCTCACCACACCATCCTGAATTGAGACTGTTTGGAAACTTAAAAATAACCATAGGATTCTTTGTTGACTACGAGTAATAAAAAGTTCATGAAACTTCCAGAATTTGTCCTTTGAATAAAGTTTAAAGGAAAGTAGATGAAATTAACATGAGTCCAGCTTACTCAATATCCTGGTTACAAATCATAGAAGAAATCATAAATGCGCAAAATAGCAATCTTTATCACTTTTCTTGTAGATGACAGTAAGAGCCTCTTAGCTTACTACCACATTGTTCATTTCTCCTGTACTGCAGTTCTGCTTTTATCACATCACATCAGTTCCCTGCTCAATGCCTTTCATGACCACCCACATATTCAAGGTAACATCCAAGTTCCTTAGGTTGTCTTTCAAGGCCCTTTTCAATATATTCCCAATCTTCATTTTCAGCCTTTCTCCCTTCTACTTCCCTGCCAAGCTGGTCATCTTACTGCACTAAAAATACATTTTATATCTTCTAACTCCTGTGCCTTTGACTACGCTATTCCTCTTCCACCTGCATTTTGCCTTATCAGAAGACTTCAAACAGTTTCTTCATAAAGACTTTCCATACCACTCTAGCCACAAGTGGATTGCTATAGAGAATGGCTGTACCACTCTCAAGGTGTGGCAGCAGGATTACCATGGTGCACTCCATTAAACACTCTCAACAGGATACCAGTGGGTATCCCCAAGGAAAAACATTTTGTAGGGAAGTGAGTTAAGGAAATGTTGGGTTAAGCAGATCGCTCTGGTAAAACTCGAGCATCAAAAGAAATAACAGCCATAATGGGCTAAAACACATTAAATACCATTAAAATCTATGAGTCCAAATTGATAGTCAACAAACAAACAAATGGAAGATATGGAAAAGCTCTTCCTGACAGAAGAATGTCATCTAATAAATATGATTGGCCATCTTGTAATCAGCACAATAACTGATCCAGTTAAGAACCATCAGTGGAAATTAGTACAACCACTACGGTTATACAGAACAGTTTGAAGGTTCCCCCAAAAATTAAGAATAGAGCTACCATATGACCCAGCAATCCCACTGCTGGGTATATACACAAAAGAAAGGAAGTCAGTATATAAAACAGATATCTACACACCTATGTTTTTTGCAACATTATTCACAACAACCAACATTTGGAAGCAACCTAAGTATCCGTGAACAGATGAATGGAAAAGAAAATGTGGTCATATACACACTGGAGTGCTGTTTAGCCATAAAAAAGAATGAGATCCTGTCATTTGCAACAACATGGATGGATGGAGCTGGAGGTCATTATGTTAAGTGAAATAAGTCAGTCACAGAAAGACAAACTTCACATGTTCTCACTTATTTGTGGGAGCTAAAAATCAAAACAATTGAACTCATAGAGATAGAGTAGAAGGATGGTATCAGAGGCTGGGAAGGGTAGTAGGGAGTAGGAGGAAAGTAGGGATGGCCAATAGGTACAAAAAATAGAAAGAATGAATAAGATATAGTGTTGGATAACACAACAGAGTAAACAAAGTCAATAATAATTAAATTGTACATTTAAAAATAACTAAAAAAGTATAATTGAGTCACTTGTAACACAAAGGATAAATGCTTGAGGAGATGAATACCACATTTTCTATCATGTAATTATTACACATTGCATGCCTACATCAAAGTATCTCATGTACCCCATAAATATGTAGATCTACTATGTACAAAATTAAAATCAAAAATTAAAAATTAAAGGGCTTTCCATCTCCCCTTCTTTCTCTTTCCTTCTGGTTTTTATGTAAATGTTGCAAGGAGTCATCAGTGACTATTAGATCAAGTGTAATACAGAACTCCTGAAACTCAACAACTATAAAACCCAATTCAGAAATGGGCAAAGGACTTGAATAGACATTTCTCCAAAGAAGATCTACAAATGGCCAACAAGTAAATGAAAAGATGCTGAACATCACTGATCAGAACTATAAGGAGATTTCACCTTATACCCATTAGGATGACTACAATCAACAAACAAACAAACAAACAAACAGAAAATAAGTGTTGGTAAGGATGTGGAGAAACTGGAACACCTGTCCACTGTTGGTGGGAATACAAAATGACACAGTCACTGTGGAACGGTTCCACAAAGAAGTAAAAATAGAACTAGCATATGATCCAACAATTCCACTTCTGGATTTATACACAAAGTAATTAAAATCAGGGTCTCAGATATTCATACATCTGAGTTCATGGCAACGTTATTCACAGTAGCCAAAATGTGAAAGCAACCAAAGTGTCCATCAATAGATGAATGGATAAGCAAAATGTGGTACATCCATACAATGGAATATTATTCAGCTTTAGAAAGGAAGGAATTTTTGATATATGCTACAACATAGATGAACATTATGCTAAATGAAATAAGCCAGTCACAAAAAGACATAGTGTATGATTCCCCTTAAGTGAGGTACTTTAGTCAAATTCATAGAGATAGAAAAAATGATGGTTTCCAGGGACTGGAGGAAAGGTAGAATATGGAGTTATTGTTTAATAAATTTATAGAGTTTGTCTTAAAAAATGAAGAAGTTATGGAGGTGGAAGGTGATAATGGTTGCCCAATATTATAAATGTATGTAATACCACTGAACTGTACACATAAAGATGATTAAGATGGTAAATTTTATGTATTTTACCACAATAAAAATTATTTAAAAAAAGAATATCAATGGACACTCAAACTAGTGGGTGAAAATTTGATGAACAAGAATTTGTATCATTCCAAAGTATCTTCTCACATAGCCTCTATTAATTATAAAGGTAAAGCAAAATTTATCTTACAGTGAGGAAACTTGGTGGATAACACCTTAGCCAAGTCATCAAAGTTCGCATCACAAAGAAGACCCAAAAACTGATGTTAAAAAAACAAACCTAATGATAGAAAGCAGTGAGAAAAACACATTACTTCTGTGGTATTCCTGCCCCCAAATGCAGACTCTGAATCTAATTATAAGAAAGCATAATACAATTCAATATGAGGAACATTCTAAGAAATAACTGGCCTGTTCTTTTCAGAAACACCAATGTCATGAAAGACAAAGGAAAGCTGAGGAGCTGTTCTAGATTAGAGAAGACTAAAGACATGGCAACCAGCTGCAAGGCATAATCCTGGCTTCTGAGCTGGGGTTGGGGAGTTATAAATGCCAGTATTGGGAAAATTGGAATACATTTGCATAAAGTTTATAGTATCACACCAAAGCTAAGTTTCCTGATTTCTATAAATGGACTATAGTTTTGTAAGAATATATTTATTCTGGCTGGGTGCAGTGGCTCACGCCTGTAATCCCAGCACTTTGGGTGGCTGAGGTGGGTGGATCACGAGGTCAGGAGTTCAAGATCAGCCTGGCCAAGATGGTGAAACCCCGTCTCTACTAAAAATACAAAAAATTAACTGGGTGTGGTGGTGGGTGCCTATAATCCCAGCTACTCTGTAGGCTGAGGCAGTGAATTGCTTGAACCCAGGAGGCAGAGGTTGCAGTGAACCGAGATCATGCCACTGCACGCCAGCCTGGTGACAGAGCGAAACCCCATCTCCAAAAAGAAAAGAAGCCGGGCGCGGTGGCTCAAGCCTGTAATCCCAGCACTTTGGGAGGCCGAGACGGGCGGATCACGAGGTCAGGAGATCGAGACCATCCTGGCGAACACGGTGAAACCCCGTCTCTACTAAAAATACAAAAAACTAGCGGGGCGAGGTGGCGGGCGCCTGTAGTCCCAGCTACTCCGGAGGCTGAGGCAGGAGAATGGCGTAAACCCGGGAGGCGGAGCTTGCAGTGAGCTGAGATCCGGCCACTGCACTCCAGCCTGGGCGACAGAGCCAGACTCTGTCTCAAAAAAAAAAAAAAGAAAAGAAAAGAAAAGAAAAGAATATATTTATTCATAGGATAAGAGGTAAAGGAATACGATGTCTGAAACTTACTGTCAAATGGTTCAGAAATCTATCTTACACTATATATTCATTTATATTAATTATGTACATTTATATATAATTTATGTACTTATAATATATACTTGTGTATCTGTGTGTGTGTCCAGAGCAAGAAAGAGAGAATGATGAAGCAAATGTGGCAAAACATTAATAGTTGGTAAAGTACATAAAGGATATTTAATACCTCCTTGTGTTCTTGCAATTTTTCTTTAAACATAAAATAATTGTAAAATACAAAGTTAGAAGAGTAATTTATTTAGTACAGGATTTCTCAAAATTTTAAAAATTCATCCACTTATTCCATCCACACTAGTTTGACATTGTATGCCATGCACTGTGATAAGTGGTTTAAGAATATCCAAGAAGAGCATCTCATGCTGTTAGTTTTCTGTGAAATACATTTCAGAATGTATTAGTTTGTCTAATTATAATCCATCTCTCCAACTAGTCTATAGGCTCCAAAATGGCAAATGCCTGATCTTAGAGATCTTATTCCTCCAGTGCATAGCCCACTGTCTGAGGCCTCAGAAGGAGCTTGATAAATGTTGACTATATGGGGAGTGAGCAAGTGAATGATGAGTGAGTGAGTGAGTGAGTGAGTGAGTGAGTGAGTGAGTGAGTGAAAGTCACCGTGAGGATCTCTGTAGCCAACACTCACTTGTTGTGGGGATCACTCGTGGACACCTTTGGCTGCACCCTACCTGCCAAATCCTCCCAGATTCTTCCAGGTGCCACAGTCTCCCCTAGACAGAGTGACTACTCAGAAAAGCTAGAATGCTGCCTTGCAAAAAGGTTGTCATTACCATAAAAATTAAAAAAAAAAAAAAACTGGACAGTTCCTTCCCTTTGACTCTGACTCTAGAACAAAAGAAGATGTGAAAACAATAGTCATCAAGGCTCATCACCACCACAGAAGGCCCTAGAGGTATTTGACTTTTTGCATCTAACACCTTCTGCAGGACCCCATTTAGTGAAAACAGAGTCCTGGACAGTGGTACAAAACAAGGAGAAGAGAAGGCTCACATTTAAGAATGAGTCACTAAGTTCTTAGAGCTTCTTTGGTAACTACTTTGCACAATTCCTGTAACAAAAGGTCTAGAATATCTTCCGAATAAAAATGAGGACAACTTTCTCACAGCTGTCATTGTTTGCCCAGGAATTCCCTTGCTTGGCCTTGTTTTTACAGCACTACTTTCACGTAATTACTTTCTGCATTGCCCTTCTGCCTTTCTTGAAGTTTCTGAACATGCTGCACCATTATAAATTACAAACATGGATATTCATCACAGAAACTGGCAGTAGTAGAAGCTTCTAGAAATAATAGGGTTTGATGTGATGGTACCATTTAAAAATTTAAAATTACTTTCCTAAAGTGAAAGTAAAATGCAAGGGAAAATAATTTTCCCCAAACCAGATTTACCTTGAAATGCTTCTTTCTAGATTTAGTGCATAACAGCAAGCCATCCCTGAAGAAGAGCAGAAACGTACACTTTCACACGTTAACCAATGGTTTGGTTTAATAAACAATAAAACCTAAGAGTAAGACATAACCTTGGAATTCATTGAATCTAGCTGTTTACCCAATGTAAAAATTACTAATAAAAATTCCAGAGATGTCTTTGTGTAAGTAGGTCTCCTAGAAAGCCAGTTGCACAATGGTTTCCTAAATTTCTACACTGTAATTGCTGAATGAAAGAAGTTGTTTGAAATGTTGGATGCAAAATCTTACTACTATCAACTTGAAAGCTTTGCCCTATTTCTTGGGTTGGTGCCAGGCGCCATCCCTGCAAAGGATGCAGCTCAGAGAGGAAACTCTGAACCCAGAAGAACATGGCTGTCCCCATTCCCCAGCACCTCCCAAAGGCACCACTCAAAGGGAATCCATCAATCTTTGGAGCACCGGTGCTGAAACAGCTCATGAAATATCTTTTACGGTCACCCACACACATCCTGGAAATTTAAGACCTAGGAGTCCTGTGAAGCACATTATTATTCTTGAATATTACATCAAAAGTCACTCAAAATTACATCAAAAGTTTCTCAACTCAATGCAAAAGTGCCAATATAGCAAGACAAATAAAATTGCCCTTATTTGGGGGACACATTGGGCACATTCATCACGCACGGTCCACACAGTTAGTTACAATGTGTAACTATGGGAATCTTTTACTATCCTTTTCATTCCCAAGTGGCGAGTTGAACAGGTGTGAGCATCTCAGCAGTGTTGTAGGGGGGCAAATGGAGGCTGGAGACCATGTAATATGCTTGCCCCCTGTCTCCCTGCACCACATTAAAATTTGCAAAGATTCTCACTCTTGTCCAAGGGCTGCTACCCATGTCACCTTCCCTAAGTCCCTGTGCACCAATAAGGTAAATTCAAGTAGGTGAGAGATTTGCAACTTACATGTAGAACTAAGTGTGTGGGGGTGGGGAGTGCGGAGAATGCGGGAGATGCCCTTTATGAAAAAAAAAAATTGTGGTTTGCCACAAGGTGTCAGTATATGTCACCACACAGTGAATCAGGACTGGCTGTTAAACCTATATATGTAATATATTAGATTCAAAGGCTGCGTACATCTTATATCCTGATAAAAGCAAGAAAACACATTCCTGTTCCTTCTCTCTATGAAGAGAGCAACATAAATTTTAGGATATATTTGATTAAACCCAGAAATAGAAGTGTAGTGATGACCTCAAATCTCACCTAGAACTCAACTCCCCTTTCTCATTCTGTGCCAATCTCCACTACTGCAGAGAGTTGGCAGCTAGTTCACAGACGCCTCTCTGCTTGCCTCTCTCTCCCTCATTCCTTTGCCTTCTGAGTATCTTGTCTGTGCTCTAGCCCTGAGAAGGTCTTCTTCCCCAGCGTTACCAAAATGCAGCAACACCTTTAAAGGGAGAGAGAGAAAGACAGGATAACAATTAAGAGGGAACAGGAAAGACAGAGAACAAGATATGGCTCTTCCAGAGGACAGATGTCCCCTCCCAGGGAGCAGGGACAACAAACCAGAGGTCAGCTCCTACTTACCTTTCTGCCGTTCACAAAGAAAACCAGCTCGTCCGCTGTCATTGCCACAGGTTGGGGTCCCTCAACTACAGGTACCTCACTCCTAAGAGACACTGGCAGGTAGTTATCACTGCTCTGTAACCTGAAAATTATGCCTCCCAATAAAATGAAATAAGGTCCACCAATAGGAGGGAACCAGCTCAGAGCTTCAGGGCACGAAGAGTTCTTGGCAAAAGCCACTGGTTTACATAATCAAGGAAAGCGCAAACAATCATGCACAGCAAATTACAATCTCCACACCTGTGTCAAAGAGCACAGGAAAATACATCCAGATATCAGTAGGGTTGTTGCCTTGGCACTAGGTGACTGTGGGTCTTGGGCACTGCTCCCATGAAACCTGCTTTGTCCTCCCACTTGCTGCAAGACAGAGAAGGGGAAGACAGAAGAGGGGAAGGACCATTGTCAGAGTCACTGCTAATAGAACTGATTCACGCCCTCCATCATTTTACCATTCAGGTTTACAGAAACACAGAATGAGTGCATGAATGCAAGAGTCATTCTTTCGCAGCCTGGTGGAATAGAGAGGTCACAGGAAATGGAGCCCCATGAACCCGACTCAAATCCTGGCATTTGACCTCAGCATGTTACTTCAGAACGCAGATTGTTTTCATCCTGTACAGGATCATAGAAGGACATCAAGAATAGAAGAATGAGGGACAAATGACATTTTGGAAGTGCCTTGTAAATTTACAAAGAACCAAAACATTTATCACTGTTGAAAAGACATCTTCAACATCTCAACAAATAAAATCCTAATAGCAAACTATTTTTGAGATTTGTCTTTTATTTGTTTCTCTCATCCTTGACAAGTTGTCAGAGTAACTCATAAAAGTATTTCAAAACACCAAAGATATTAAAATGCTCCTACCACATAGTCATAGGCTGCAGTAACACATAGCTGAAAAAAACCTTTCCCCATCCGATATCCATTAACTGTCAGTGTAAACACAGATGTGCACATCCACTGGAGCAGCACTAATGGGCTCTCTGCAGTCCAGCACCCTCCCAACTGCCCCTACCAGTTCTCTAGTTCAACACACACACACACACACACACACAGTCTCTCTCACACACACACACTCTCTCTCTCTCTCACTCTCTCACACACACTCACACACACAATCTCTCTCTCACACACACACTCTCTCTCACACACAATCTCTCTCACACACTCTCACACCCTCTCTCTCACACACACACACACACTCTCTCACACACACACTCTCTCTCTCTCACACACACACTCTCTCTCTCTCACACACACACTCTCTCTCACACACACACAGACACACTCTCTCTCTCTCTCACAAACACACACACACACTCTCTCTCTCACACACACACATTCTCTCTCTCTCACTCTCACACACACACTCTCACGCACACACAATCTCTCTCTCACACACTCTCTCTCACACCCTCTCTCTCTCTCTCTCTCTCACACACACACACACTCTCTCTCACACACACACACTCTTTCTCACACACACACACAGACACACACACTCTCTCTCACACACACACTCTCACACACACACACAGACACACACACTCTCTCACACAAACACACACACAGACACACACTCTCTCTCTCTCTCTCACAAACACACACACACACGCGCACACACACACACACGCGCACAGAGGCCAGCATTCACTCTGGTCTTCTTCTGTCCTGTAATGACCCATATAGTGGCTCAGCCAGCCTTCCTTAGGTAGGACGCCTCCCCTACAACCCTAGCAGGCTACCGGAGGGGGAAGAAAGGAGTATTAGGCAGAGGTACTTGATATAGCAACAGCTTAGAGAAACTAAAGACTGCCAGGACAAGCACACAATCAACACAATGCCCCCTCCCAGCACAGCCTTAATTTAACCAGGAGATGAAACTTTACTTGTTGGTTGACCAAATATCCCAGTTTGCCCTGGACTATCCTAGTTGCAGCCTTGAATCCCTGAAATATGCCTCAGAGATCCTAGTAAATCTTTAATCCAGGGCAAACTGGGATGGTTGGTCACTATAAAACTGGTTGTTGGCTAGGCACAGTGGCTCACACCTATAATCCCAGCACTTTGGGAGGCCAAGGCAGGTGGATCACCTGAGGTCAGGAGTTCGTGACCAGCCTGGCCAACATGGTGAAACCCTATCTCTACTAAAAATACAAATATCATCCGGGAGCAGTGGCCCACCTGTAGTCCCAGCTACTCTGGAGACTGAGGCAGGAGAATCACTTGAACCTGGGAGGCAGAGGTTGCAGTGAGCCGAGATCGTGCCACTGCACTCCAGCCTGGGTGACAGAGTGAGGCTCCATCTCAAAAACAAAGACACAACCAAAACCGGTTGTTAAATCTGGGAGATTCCCTACCCCAGATGCCATTTGGCAATGTCTAGGGATATATTTTATTGTCACAACTGGGGAGGGATGCTACTGGCATTTAATGGATGGAGGCCAGTAATGCCACTAAACACCCTACAAACCACAAGACAGTCCCACCCTGTTGGGGGCCGCACCGGGGGTGGTGGAGAATGAAAGAACACACACAAAGACAAAGACACACAGAGAACATGGCGGCCGCACTCAGAGCCTCCGCCTCACTTTATTTATATTCCATAAACTTCAGGTCAGCAGAAAGAATGCAATGCAAAACAAACTTTCTTTTCCCACATGTAACCTTCTACTCAGTACCTTGTTTCTATATTCTTTCTTATCTACCCGCCTTCTTGGCGCCTACGGGAGTTCATTAAAAGTTCAGTTGGAGATACTGTCCTTGAGCCTTATCTATTCTCAGCATACTGTTTTCAAAGGCCCCTGCATTTCCCCCCTTTTAATTTTGTTTTGCCTCAATCCTAAAAAGGTAGCCCATATTTGTTCCTGTGTTTTCTTTTGTTTTTGGTGGCGACGGAGGGAGCATTGAATCACCAAAAGAAGTAGACACAAACCAAGTGCCCAAAGCAATATACTTCCAGAGATTGTAGAAATCCATGTTTTTATCTGAGTCCATGGGTTAAAGGCAGCAAGGCGCTGCCCCAGCTCCTGCAAGGTTACAGTTCCAGACAGCACATGTAATTGTTGTCGAAATGCTTCGGAAATGTTCTGAGTGAGCTCTTGAATGTCCAAACTAATATTTTTATGGTCAATTAATAATTTTCGGATTACAGTCCAATTTTGAGAGATGTTAAAAGGCACAGGCATTACACAAAATTGAGTGGAATTCCAATCACATTGTAATGTTACCCGAGTACTGAGTACAGTGAGCTGATCTCCAAGCCATGTCAACGCTTGCTCCATGTTGTCCAATCTTTCAGCAAGTTGAGAATCAATGTTTCGTTGTTGAAGCCATAACCGGTGAGATTGTTCATGCCATTGCTGCACAAATTCAGCATTTTGTATGCTTTGATGAAGAGCGAGCCCTGCTACAGCCGCAGTGGAGGCAATGGCAACAAGACTCATCACCGAGGCAATTATAAGTCCAAGGGCACGGAGGGTTCGCTGAAGAGAAGTCCAAATATAAGTTTCAAGAGGTGATGCCCCCCACGGTCGCGTAAGATTAACAGGTAGCCAAATTTTCTTACGAGCCCTGAGGATATAAATATCCCCAGCAAAGTTGTGCCACCAAGAATGATTGAGGCAAGACAAAAATGTACACGTATTTGTACAATTAACAATTCCCGTATTATTATCCCATATCAAATTCCCTGCTAATAATAGGTAGGGCTTACGGACACAAGCAATAATATATCGAGAGGTATTCCGATATAACTGAATATGAAAGGAATTAGTTGGGTTAGAAAGATTAAGAGACATATTCACCACAAAAGTGCTAATGGCATCGCCTGCAGCTAACAACTTCCAAAGATGACTCTGTACTTAGGCCTCCTTCACACCATACCAAGGTTTCATTATTGTTAGCAGCAATACTTTTATTTACCCGGTGCCATTTCAAAGGTATATGACTAAATTTTATTTGAAAATCACTGTGCACACTTCAATCAGTTATTTGCATCCCATTGTATTCTAATAAAATCCGGGTTTTATTTCCCCGACATAGTTGCCACTCCAGCACCTCAATATTAGGAGAAACCTCTGGAATAGGACAAAAAGGTAAAGAACTAGGAATAGTTTCATTACTATATACAGTATGATTATAATAACAGTATTAGCAGCCACATAACTATGATTATAGCGAACAACCCAGGCTTCATACGATTTTCGGAGACAATGAGAATTATTTCCCATGCATATTGGAAGTTCTTCCACTCCAAATTGGTATGTGTTGTTTATAATTTCCGTTTCCCGTTCTATATTGTCCTTGTCTATATAGGGGGACGACATTCAAGTAGTGTCATTGGTGAAAACCTTAATTTCCGCCTCTCCCCAGGCGACTCCCTGATACAAGGGTGGAAAGGGAATATAAGTGCAATATTCATACAAAGCCTCACTAAGGGAAATAAGTCCCCCGCCGAGGCACATCCAACAAAGGAAGAAATGCATGCTGAATCCAGTTTTCTTTTCAACAGGGTTTCAATCATCTTGTAGGAAACCACTCAGGTCCGCTCCCTGTAAGGACAAGAGCATAGCCCCATTCCTGTTTTAGAACTTGCCCTTGAACATACTTACCTTCTTCATTAGGATACCAAATCTTTAAATTGTCAGTGGGGACTATCACCGAGAGAGGTGAGGAAAGATGAGTTACGACAGCGGAGTCTTGCAACTGTCTCCATTGATTCAAAAAATAATTAAAGTAAAAAGAACCTTCAAAATCAAAAAAATTAAGGTAGAAAGGTTAACCTTCAAAAAAATGTGGTTTTTTGGGGGGGCTCATTTCCCCCTTTTTGTTTTAATAGTTGAGTTTTTAAAGTTAAATTTGCGTGCTCGATGATGGCTTGACCTTGACTGTTGCCTGGGATCCCGGTGATATGTCGAATATTGTATTGCTGTAAGAAAACTTGTAATTTATGAGAGACATAGGCAGGGGCATTATCAGTTTTAAGTATAAAAGGAATGCCCATAATGGCAAAACAAGCTAAGAGATGTGTAATAACAGAATCAGCTTTCTCAGATGGCAACGGAGTGGCCCATTGAAAATGAGAAAAAGTATTAATGGTATGATGAACATACTTTAATCGTCCAAAAGAAGGAATATGTATAACATCCATTTGTCAAATTTGATTAACTTGAGTACCTCTCAGGTTAACTCCAGGATGGAAGGATGGAATGCTCAAAGGAGCACAGAAAGGACAAGCTCGAATAAGAGAACAAGCTTATTTATGAGTTAAATGAAACCGTCGTTGAAGGCCAGAACTATTAGTGTGATGTAGAACATGTTCTTGTTCTGCAGCCTGCAAGTGGCCAATTAGAAGTGAATCAATCTGAGTATTTCCATGAACTAATGGTCCAGGCAATTGAGAATGAGAAAGAAGATGAGTGATGAATAAAGGAGCTCGACGTTGGCTCAAAGTAGAAAATAACAAGGAAAAGAGTTTTTGAAGAGAAGAAGTAGCACAAAGAGGTAAAGTGGCCTGAGAAATATAAGAAGTAACATAAACGGCATATTGAGAATCACTAACAATATTTCAACCAGTAGTAGGGAAATTAAGTAAGACCATGAGAATAGTAAACAATTCTCCCTATTGCACCGAGGGATAAGGATAAACTGTAACTCAAGATTGATGAAGCTTCTTGCCAAGAATCAGAAGTTGCAAGAAGATAAATGATCTGACTATGAGTGAATTGAGAGATAATTAAGGAAGGATCTCCTCCCCAAAGTTGTCGACAGTGATGCCGTCCTTTGATGATCAGTTCAGCTAAACGATCGATATAAGTAGCCAAGTGTTTAGATGTTTTATTGGACAAAAAGATCCATTTTAGCGGCTGATTGGTCTGATGAATCATTCCTGTAGGAGAATGTAAAGTATGAAATAAACAAAGGGAAAGGGGAACATCGGGAAGGATATAATGTAAATGAGCCTTTTGAAGTTGCTCTTCCACAAGCTGGAGTTCCTGTAAAGCCAAAGGAGTTAAATGACGTGAGCTGTCCAAGTGACTGTCTCCTTCTAGAATAGAAAAAAGATGTTGTAACTGAAT